CTGTGAGGTGATGCCGGGGATGGGGGTGATGCCGGGGGCTGTGAGGTGATGCCGGAGGCTGTGAGGTGATGCCGGAGGCTGTGAGGTGATGCCGGGGGCTGTGAGGTGATGCCGGGGGCTGTGAGGTGATGCCGGGGACGGGGGTGATGCCGGGGGCTGTGAGGTGATGCCGGGGGCTGTGAGGTGATGCTGGAGGCTGTGAGGTGATGCCGGGGGCTGTGAGGTGATGCCGGGGGCTGTGAGGTGATGCCTAGGGCTGTGAGGTGAGGCCGGGGGCGGGGAGCCAGGAGCACCTCAGTCACATGCTGTGGGAACAGGGCCTCTGGAGGAAGACATGGTCGGGGGTCCGAGAGCCCTAATTTTATCAAAACAGAGTGGTTTCTCCAGGACACACTGCTCCCAGTGTTCGCTGCAATCCAATGCCAGCCCCAACTTCCCAGCCTGCGTTTCCTGCTGCAGGTTCTGTGGTCCCTGCTGGCACCAGTGATGGGTCCTGCACCCTCTGGGGCAGCACCCTCCACCACCCCATACACCCCCAGCACCCCACACCCCCAGAGCCACTGTGCCCCTCCCTGTGGGCATCACTGCCTACCCCCGCCAGGTCTACTTCCTGAGTGGTGTGGCAGGGACAACCGGGTGTGGCTCCCAAAGCCAGGAGGTCTGGGACGAGGCGGAGTGCTGTATCCTACGCCATCACCCACGTCTGAGGGGTGCCAGGACTTTATAAATCTTCCTGAAAACCGAGGGTGGAAAACAGAATACACATGGGTAACAATGACCATTCCCCACCTGACTCAACACAGAATGAAGACACAAGACCATCAGTGAAAAATACTTATTTCATGTGTTTAAAAATACATTCTTAGGGTTTGCCCTGCAGGGGGAGGCAGGCCGTCCACATCTCAGTCCCAATAGTGTCTCGAGGTCGTTTCCAAAATCTGTGGGTCCCTCACTGCTTCTGATGATGGCTGCTGATGCCATTTGTTGAGGAACAGGGACAGGAAGGATGGCGAGGGCCTGGCCCCAGGGTGGCCACACCAGAAGGTCGGAGAAAGGCCCACGGTGGATGCCACTCCCACCAGTGGTGACTGCCCCCAACTCCTTTTCTGAATCTATCAGCACTGTTTGGTTTTCTTCTTGTTGCTTTTAAATCCTCGAGCAGCACCCTGACCAAAGCAGATGGTAGAGGGTATTCTGGGATGGAAGAAAGTTTATATTAGACTCTGCATTTGCCAACCAACAACCCAGGTCATAACAGCAGTCATGTGTCTCCTTCTCATTCTCTTTCACTCTGGGAACATGCGGGATGCAGAGCCAGCCCTCCTGGGCCCTGGGGCAGCTCCCTTTCCACAGCCTGTCTGAGACCTACTTCCTGGGGGAGATCCCCGCCAGCCACCGACGCACATCCACTGGGAAGAACTCAGCGGAGATGGCGGCTCCTGCCAAGTCCTCTGGGGCTGAGACTTCCTGCTACCCCATGTCTGTCCAGTGGAAACCCCTACTGCCCCAGCCCCCCGGGGCTCATCCACAGGCCAAAGTCCAGGCATCTGTAAGGGGGTGCAGGGAACGCTAAGTTCATCTTTCCACCTGTTTGGAATCTTTGATGATGTTTTTCCCCAATTGTTCACTGTTTTCCCCAAATTAATTTGAAATCGACTTTAACCCAAGACAAGTACAGGTAATGCTAGGAAGGCAGACGGCACAGGTAGCGTGAGAAAAGCAGATGCCTGGGTTGTAACTGAAGCAACTGCAAGTGGGACTCTTTCCATCCCACTCAGACAGTGAGGAAAAGGGAGTGGTGCTCGGCATTCCTGCACTTCAGCGCCTCAAAAACAGGGTATGCGAGAGAAACTTAGCTATTCACAGGACCTGAAACATCTGGACTTTCTTCTCCGGCAAAATCGGAAGCCGATTTTCTTTCCCAGCGTTACCTTTCTGAATTCAGTATGAGAAGCACAGCAGCCCAGGGTGCAACCCAGAATCCTCAGCACCGAACACACATTGAGAACGTGTTTCAGAAACAGCTTGGACACTGACCTATGACTGTAGGTCCGCCTCTCACCGGCCGGTGCAGGGGAGGCCGCCACAGGCTCGGAGCAGATTTCCATGGCCTCCCCTTCTGACCGCTCTCCACTGTCCCCTGGGACTTCCGCTGAGGCTGGGCTGCGTGGACAGAGCAGTGAGCAGCAGCCCTGCATGGCTCCAACAGCCCCCGTGTTCCCCAGAAATGAATGTGCAAGAAAGAAACTGGATTTCCTTGTAAGTAGCATATTTTCTATTTTGGCATAGTCTAATTTTATAGTGTGGTTTTCAGGATACTGGGAAAAGGAAAATGATTACAGCAAGGTCGTTGTTTATATTAATAAAGCCTGCATTTTATAAACTTAACTGCAACAATCATACTTGTTTTGAGAATAGTATTTTTGGTGCCAACGGTGCCACAGGTCTTTTTACGAGTGTGAGAAATTTGCTCAAGTTAACCAGAGACTATAAACTAGTCTCTTCCATAATACGAATGTCTCAATCCAGCATTGCAGGGTTTTTCTCCTTAAAACGATCCCTTGGAAAGGAGACAATTACTTCATACATAAGTCTTTGTAAAGCCTTCCATATTGCAGTGAGTTCTCCCAATTATTTTATTTTAAACAGCAAATTACTACTTGAGAAAATGTAGTCTGAAAGACTTTGATCAATACAATTTCAGATGATTATGAAGGTTCACCTAAGATAATCAGTTAAAGAAAAGAAGAAATGTAACACAATTTAAAAATTGTTCCAGCTGGATGTGATAGCTCATACCTGTAATCTCAGCACTTTGTGAGGCTGAGGCAGGTGGATTGCTTGAGCCCAGGAGTTCACCACCAGAGTGGGCAACATAGCAAGACCCTGTCTCTACAAAAAATAGAACATTTTGCCAAGTGTGGTGATGCGTGTTGGCAGGTCCTAGCACTTTAGGAGGCTGAAGTGGGAGAATCGCTTGAGCCTGAGAAGTGGAGGTTGCAGTGAACCTAGATCACACCACTGCACTCCAGCCTGGGTGTCCCAGCGAGACCCTGTCTCAAAAAAAAAGAAAAGATTGTTCTTGGAAGTATTTCCCAGAGTGCCCTAGGCAGGAACATGTTAATAAATGGCTTTGGCATCAAGTTCATATGCGCACAACCAGGACAAAGAGAAAGCCAGGGCAGCATGATGTGTGAGCACAGCCAACTGTTGCAGGAGGTAGAGGCACAGCCCCAAGGGGTGTGAGTGCAGAGGTGCTGTGCCTGCTCATTCCCACACCCCCTCTGCTGCCTCCACCGGCACAGAGCTGGGCAGCCAGGGGCTCCCCTCCAGCCTCCCTTCGGCAGGGTGGCCGCCGGCACAACCACCTGTAGCTGTGCTGCCAGGGCTTCAAGTACCCGTAGGTGGACACCCCATTAGGATAAGTCTGACAGTCTATGTGTTCTGGCTGGTTGGAAGCCTCTTCCTAAAATCAAAAACAGACACGTGCAGAGCCTGGTGGCTCCCTACCTTCTGCTTTTCTTTGGCTTATCAAACCGGAAGTCCACGGGGTACAGGTGCATCCTCACCAAGTGGTCCTTCCGGTCTCTGCTGGTCTTGAACTTCTCTGTGCAGCCTTCTACCAAGCACTGATACTGAAACGGAGACGGCATCACCTCCCTCTGACCCCTGGCCCTCCCCCGCCACCATGCCCCTCTAGCAGGGCTGCCAAGGGCGGAAAGGTATTCCTGGCCTTGCCCCTGTGCACCCGAGAGCTGGGGGCAGCACCCTGAGCCCATCACCACTGGGGATGGCCTCGGCGGCTATGTAGACCTCACCCACCATGTCCTGCCTCTCAGACAGGATCTGGAAGAGCGAATCGTGCCACTCCAGGATGTGGGTGTCCAGCAGATGTCCGGAAGGGAAGGCCCGCTTGCAAAAGGAGCAAACATTTCCATGCAGCGTGTGGTAGTGGTGCTCGTAGTCGTCCAGGGCATCGAACACCTGGCAGCAGCCGGCCACCTGGCAGGCAAACGCGGGCACCCTGCCAAGGAGACCTGCTTCAGGGGCCCTTCCTCCGGTGCGAGGAACCAAGCTGGACTTTCTGCACAGTTTCCCTTTGAGACCTCCAATAAAGCCCCCATGCATCTTTTGCGATCCCAAGCCCTCTTTTTATGAATTAAGTTTCACAAACAGACTAGGTGGGGGTGGAGTCAGCCACGCCAAATCTGGACAGGCACAGCGCCTTGGTGGGGCAGCCGCACATGGAAAGGCGGCAGCGCAGCCCCAGGGACTAGGCACGAGGCAGGGAGGCGGCGCAGAAATAGCACTGGCAGGGCACTGCCCAGCCGCTTACCTCGGCTTCTCAGGCGCGTCGGCCACCTGCATGAGCACGTCCTGGAGGTAGAGGTGGCGCTGCACGTCCCCATCCTGCAGGAGAAGTGCGCCGTCGGCGGGGCCAGGTGCCTCGCCGCAGGCCTCGCCCACACCCGTGGCCCCACCCATCCCGGGATCCGGCCCCGCCCCACAGCTGTAAGCTCCACCCTCCCGGCTCGGCCCCGCCCCACAACCATTGGCTCCGCCTGCTCCAGGCTTTGGCTCCGCCCTGCAGCCTCATGCCCCTCCCACATCCGTTCCGGCCCCTCCCCACCGCCTCAGGTATCGCCTGTCCCAGGCTCCGGCCCCGCTCCGCAGCCGTAGGCCCCGCCCACTCCAGGCTCCAGCACCGCCCTGCAGCCTCAGGCCCCGCCCACTCCCGGCTCCGGCCCCGCCCCGCAGCCGTAGGCCCAGCTGGATCCCACAACTGCCTTTTCCCAATTTTGTTCACGCACCTCGAAGAACTCGTGCTCTCGCGGGAAGCGCACCGGGCGCGCAACGAAGCGAAAGGGCGCGGCCCCAGCCGCGGGGTCCCGCTCTACAGGCAGTGGCTCCGCCACCCCGGGCCCCGCGGCGAGGCGGGCGCACAGCGCGGGGGGCAGCTGCATCACCCCGGGCGCGGGCGGGCGCAGCCTGTCGGCCACCGTCCGCCAGCCGAGCCGGACGTGACGTCGTGCGCACTTCCGCCGCCGTGGGGGCTGCGCGGGGGCTGTGGCTCCGGTACTGCGGTGAGTGCCGGCAGAGCGCGGGCGCAGAGAGGGGTTTGGGGGACTGCCGGGCCCGGGGGACCACTAGGCGACGGAACTGGTGGGACGCGGCTCTTCCCGCGCGCTCCCTCTGGCTGCGCAGCGGTCCCCGAACTCTGGGCCGAAGCCCTTGGGGCCTGCACCGGCCAGGCCAGCGTCTTGCCCCGCGGCCCGACACTCAGCCGGGGCGGGGCGGAGCGGGCCTCCGGGTCGTCCCGGGTGTCCCCTCCCAGCCCTGGGAAGCCGGGTGGCAGGTCCCCCTCTCGCACGCTCTCTCCCGTCCGCCTTGCCCTGGCTCTCGTCTCCCGCCTGTTGGACCGCGGCAGTCCCTGGATCTTGTTCCCTCTAAACCAGTCGCAAACCGGAGCCAAAGTGGCTCCGATTTTATTGCAACCGTTTTTAACTTAAAGCGCTTGGGTGAATTCCCGTTACTTTAGTTCAAAGGCCCTTTCGTGGTTTGTCGGGGTCCTGTCGACGTCTCCGGTCCCCGCAGCTCCCGTGAAACCCACGACCTGTGCTAGGTGCCCAGGGTGTGTGGGTGAAGGCGTCACAGGAGAGCGCGGCAGCCTAGTAGGAGAGACAGACGTCAGACTAAAGAGTCATCTAATTAAAATGGTGATTGACAACACGGGGGAAGCAGTGGAGGCTTCAGATCTACTGCAGGGAATGTTCCCGGTGGCGGATAGAGGCTGTAGCTTTCTCGTTCTGTCATCCAGGCTGGAGTGCAGTGGTGCGATCATAGCTCATAGATCGATGCGGCCTCAAAACTCTTGGGCTCAAGTGGTCCTCCTCCCTCAAGCTTCCAAAGAGCTGGGACTGCAGGCGTGAGCCACCATGCCTGCCCCTGTACTTTTTCCGTGTTTAGGTACACGAATACCTCTGTGTTACAGTTATGTAGTGTTCAGCACAGCCACCTGCTGCGCAGGTTTGTGGCCCACAAGCAGGAGGCTCCACTAGGTGGCTTAGGTGCATCGTAGGCCTTACACCATCTAGGTCTGCCAGTGACTGATGATTGCTCAGAAGGAAATCATGTAACCATACGTTTCACTTTTTTCTTTTGGAGATAGAGTCTCTGTCACCCAGGCTGGAGTGCAGTGGCACGATCTGGGCTCACTGCAACCTCTGCCTCCTGGGTTCAAGCGATTCTCGTACCTCAGCTTCCCAAGTAGCTGGGATTACAAGTGTGCGCCAGCAGGCCTGGCTAATTTTTGTATTTTTGTTAGAGACTGGTTTTCACCATGTTGGCCAGGCATTTGTCAGAACGCTGAGTGATGCCTGACTGTACTTTCTGTCTCTGTGAAAGCCTTTGGGCTCTTGGCATTTTCCACAAGTTGTAAAATAATTTTTCACACCAATTTGTACAATTAGCTTTGAGCTCTCAACAGAGGCTCTTGTTCACGCCCCTCTGTGTTTTAATCACGTACTCACTGGGAGTGTGTGCCCTGCTTGTCTGTGGTGGAGTGTGGCATGCGTGCCTGGCTTCCTCAGCTCGCGTCCTTGTAGGGTCCGGCCCCACAGGGTCAGTGGGTTTTTCTCCCCGTGTGCGGAGATGAGAGGTTGTAGAAATAAAGACAGAAGACAAGGAGATCAAAGAAAAGACAGCTGGGCCCAGGGGACCCCTGCCACCAAGACGTGGAGACCAGTAGTGGCCCTCAGCCCCAGACTGCGCTGATGTTTATTGGATACAAGTCAAAGGGGCAGGGTAAGGAGTGTGAGCCATCTCCAATGATAGGTAAGGTCACGTGGGTCACGTGTCCACTGGACAGGGGCCCTTCCCTGCGTGGCAGCCGAGGCACAGAGAGAGAGAGACAGCTTATGCCATTATTTCTGAATATCAGAGATTTTTAGTACTTTCACTAATTTTGGTACTATAAAATAATTTTTCACTATTTTGGTAATATAAAAGGCAGAGCCAGGTGCACAGGATGGAACATGAAAACGGACTAGGAGCGTGACCACTGAAGCACAGCATCACAAGGAGACCGTTAGGCCTCTGGATAACTGCGGGCGGGCCTGACTGATGTCAGACCCTCCACAAAGAGGTGGAGGAGTAGAGTCTTCTCTGAACTCCCCCGGGGACAGGGAGACTCCCTTTCCCGGTCTGCTAAGTAGTGGGTGTTTTTCCTTAGCACCGACGCTACCGCTAGACCCCAGTCCGCTTGGAAATAGGCATCTTCCCAGATGCTGGCGTTACCAGTGGAGCAAAGAGCCCTCTAGTGGCCCTGCCCAGGCATCACAGAGGGCTCACACCGTCTTCTGGTCACTTCTCAGCGTGCCCCTTCAGCTCCCATCTCTGTATGGCCTGGTTTTTCCTAGGTTATGATTGTAGAGCGAGGATTATTATAATATTGGAATGAAGAGTAATTGCTACGAACTAATTAATGATATTTATATGTAATCACGTTTATGATTTACATCTAGTATAACTTGTTTAATGTATTTTATTATACTGGAATAGCTCGTGCCCTCGGTCTCTTGCCTTGGTACCTGGATGGCTTGCTGCCCTCACATCCCTGCGTAGCTCACAGCCTCTGTGAAAAGGACTTCAGTCCCGCCCAGTCACAGACGCTAGGCCTGCCCGTTTGTGTGATTAATAGTAAGAATTCAGGAGCATCAAGAAGACCAAGTAAGCGGCCGAAGCTAAACAGTTCCTCAGAGCTCGAGAGGGACACGTTCTGGTGGGACAACTGTCTGGATGATTAACGTCCCTGGCCCTGGCCCTCTAAGTACCGAGAGCAACCTCCGTGACCGTGACACCCCAGAGTTGCCCCAGGACTTTTCCAGAGGTCTCCTGAAGGGGGGGAACTCTGTGCGGGCGCAGGCTGCCCTTTTGGAGGACGGGTCCGCACATTCAGGGAGAGCAGCAGGCTCCTCACAGGGTGAACACTCATGACGTGCGGGCATCTGTGCTTCTACTTCTAGAAGAGATGGGAAGTTTCCTGAAGGTAGTTTTAATTTTTTTATTATTATTATTATTTTCTTTGAGACAGAGTCTTGCTCTGTCACCCAGACTGGAGTGCAGTGGCGCGATCTCGGCTCACTGCAAGCTCCGCCTCCCGGGTTCACGCCATTCTCCTGCCTCAGCCTCCCCGGTAACTGGGACTACAGGCGCCCGCCACCACGCCCGGCTATTTTTTTTTTGTATTTTTAGTAGAGACGGGGTTTCACCGTGTTAGCCAGGATGGTCTCGATCTCCTGACCTCGTGATCTGCCCACCTTGGCCTCCCAAAGTGCTGGGATGACAGGTGGGAGCCACCATGCCCGGGAGATAGTTTTTCAGTAAATACTCAGATGGTTATCCTCAGAGGTAGCTTTCTCTCCCGACTTGTGTCTGGTGGGGGACTGCTTTGTTTTGGTGGCAGATGGTTTTCTTGCCACCTAGCATGACCAAAGTGTGTCCCAGTCCAGCAGCTACAGGGCAACCTGCAGTCCTCGGGGAGCCCAGTAGAATGTGGGTGAAACAGGCTCCCCTTGGATTTGAAGAGGCCTCTGGCCGGAAAGTTTTGGGGTGTCCTTCTGTTTCGCAAGTAGTTTGCAGGGCCTCATCCAGGGCTCCCGTGACTTAGAAAAGCAACTGGTAGTTTAAGATATTGTCAATGATTGGGACCCAATTTTCCTTTTGCAAACTTAACCATTTCTCAGGTAACTGAGTTAATACCTCCAGGTAGTAACAGTGGCCGCGTGTTTGTTTCTGCTTTCCTGGTAACAACACTGTAAGAACTTACCACGTATGGGCCCTTTTGTGCTTTTTCAGGATTATTTCACTTCTCTCCACCACAAGTCTAGGCAGGACCTAGGGCTTCCCCTTTTCAGAAGAAGCTTGGAGAGGACACGTCCTTTTTCAGGTTCCTGCAGCCTGGAAGTGGCCATGTCAGTGTCCGGACTGCGTGGGGCTCCGTGGCGCGTGCCCTGCCCTGTGCTTGAACTGTAGTTACCATGAGTGCCTCCTGAGTCAAAAGCATGTATGTGAGCAACTTGGGCACCATGGCTGCTTGTCGCTCTCCTTCCATTTTCAGAGATACCCTGCCTGTGACCAGTATTTGATGTTCATCTACGGATACGCCCTTCTGTCACACAGGATTAGAATCTCGGTGTCGAGTCCCACGCTAATAGTCACTAGTGAATTAGCATATTGTGGGAGTGCGTGCCAAGTCTTCTGTGCTCGATGTTTTGTTGAACTCATCCTTGTCTTCCTGAAGCTGTCACAGAGTGGTTGCTTACCTTTTTGGGGTCATAGAGCCTTTGAGAATTTGTCGAAGGGCCATCTGCTCAGAAAATTCACAAATTATTTTGCCCATAACTTTCAAGGGCTTGTCTGTTATTGATTATTCACGGATACCAGATTAGGAACCCTTGTGTAGATGAATTGAAATGTTTGTGAAGGCCGGGCGCGGTGGCTCACGCCTGTAATCCCTGCACTTTGGGAGGCCGAGGTGGGCGGATCACGAGGTCAGGAGATCGAGACCATCCTGGCTAACCACGGTGAAACCCAGTCTCTACAAAATACAAAGAATTAGGCGGCCGCGTGGCGGGCCTGTATCCAGCTACCGGAGCTGAGGCAAGGCAGAAAATTTTGGGGGGGGCCGGGGCGACCCGGCAAAGAGAGCTTTGCATGAAGCTGAGATCCACCACCCGCACTCCAGCCTGGGCGACAGAGTGAAGACTCTGCCTCAAAAAAAAAAAAAAAAAGAAATGTTTGTGAAGCATGTAAAGTTTGCTTATGTTTGTTTTTTAATCTATAGCCAGTTGCCTTGCCTATGTGTGTTTTTTGTTTTGTTTTGTTTTTTTGTTGAGACAGGGTCTCCCTCTGTCGCCCAGGCTGGAGTGGCTCAAGTGATCCTTCCACCTCAGCCTCCCGAGTAGCTGAGACTACAGGCATATGCTACCATGCCCAGTTAGTTTTTGTATTTGTTGTAGAGACAGAGTCTCACTGTGTTGCCCAGGCTGTCTTGACTCCTGGCCTTGAGCGACTCACCTGACTCAGCCTCCCAAAATGCCGGGATTTCAGGCAGCAGCCCCCACACACAGCCATGTGTTTGTCTTGATGGCCTTGTGGCAGAACTCTCAGTGACCAGCCACTGCTGGGAAAGTCGGGGTGGCGCTCACCCTGCACCCTGACCCCATGCAGTGTTCTGCTGCCCACTTGGGTGTGTCTGTGACGGCTTCGATCTCGTATGTGTTACGTGTCTCCTGGTGAGACCCTGGGGCAGCTGGAGCTGCAGTGGAACCTCACCTGGCTCAAACGCGTGGGGAACGTGTAGAAATCTTACCAGAGCATCTCTGTCGGTAGCCACGCTTGGGCAAGAAAAGGAGATGCCACGGGTACCCGAGTGAAGAAGGAATGCAGAGCCGGCCAAGTGAATGGAGCTGCGGCCGAGCACCCCAGGGTCTGAGAACCAGGGTGGGCCTCTCAGGTGGAAGCTGGGATTTTGTTGTGTGTGCCGGGAGCTGGCACAGTGTCAATGGCTTGGGCCTGTGCAGAGCTCCCTGTGTAGACTCCACAAGCACTGCCTCCCATCTGCACATCTGGGACCAGAAAGCTCCGCCAACCAGCCGAGGCGAGCAGCAGAACATCCCTGCTGGCCCAGACCCGTGTGTGGAGGGAGGTGCAGGAAAAAGGGAACCCGGGTCTCAGGCCCCATTCGTGCTGCCCACGGGGATGGCCCCCAGAGCTGTGGAGGCCGCCTGGAAGCTGGAGGCAGGTGAATCCCAGGCCCATGCAGAGGACCCTCTAGAGGCTGCTGGGGTGTCGGGGGAGGGGCCCCAGGCCGGTTGATAACTTGGTTTGTCAAAGGCCTGACATTGGCCAGCCTTAAGGGTTAAAAAAGTTTTGTTTTAATCCCAGCACTTTGGGAGGCTGAGGCGGGCGGATCACAAGGTCAGGAGATGGAGACCATCCTGGCTAACACAGTGAAACCCCATCTCTACTAAAAATACCAAAAATTAGCCGGGCATGGTGGCACGCACCTGTAATCCCAGCTACTCAGGAGGCTGAGGCAGGAGAATGGGGTGAACCTGGGAGGCGGAGCTTGCAGTGAGCCGAGATCGCGCCACTGCACTCCAGCCTGGGCCACAGAGCGAGACTCCGTCTCAAAAGAAAAAAAAATTTTTTTTTGTTTTATTTCTACAGTTTAAATTTTATGAATAGCTGCCCTCTTACCTTTAGAACATATTGTGATGTTGGTGCCTCAGAGCTAAAACCATGAGTGAATTTCGGATTCACCATGACGTCAATGAACTGCTTAGCCTGCTGCGTGTCCACGGAGGAGACGGGGCTGAGGTCTACATTGACCTGCTTCAAAAGAACAGGACCCCGTACGTCACTACCACTGTCTCTGCTCACAGTGCCAAGGTGAGCACTGCCCTTGGGGTAGCTCTGTGCAGAGCGAGCATTGTTCTGGGGTCAGGATGGTGCGGGGTGAACCCACCCCTGGGTCCAGGTGCAGGGTGAGCGCCGTCCCTGGGTCAGGGTGTAGGGTGAGCCCACCCCTGGGTCTGGGTATAGAGTGAGCACCACCCCTGGTGCAGGATGGTGCAGGGTAAGCCCACCCCTGGGTCAGGGTGCATAATGAGCACCGCCCCGGTGCAGGCTGCAGGGTGAGCGCCACCTCTGGTGCAGGACTGTGCAGGCTGCAGGGTGAGCGCCGCCCCGGGGTCAGGGTGTAGGGTGAGCGCCGCCCCGGGGTCAGGACGGCGCAGGGTGAGCGCCGCCCCGGGGTCAGGATGGTGCAGGGTGAGCGCCACACCTGGTGCAGAGCTGTGTGCCGTGCAAGGTGAAGGGTGAGTGCCCATTCCTGGGTGGCCTCAGTGGTACCGGCAACGATGGCAGACAGTACTTGGGCTGTGTGTGTTCAGCTCTCATTCTGCTGACTCCCCCCAGCAGCTCCTGTGGTTCACCCCACTGTGCAGATGAGTAACGGAGGCCCCAGGAGAAAGCGGAGCCTAGAACCCTCCCTCTTCCCCACTCTGTCCACTGCAGCTGTGAGGAGGGAGAGTCCTGACATGCATTCCTGTGGTCTTAACCATGTTGAAATCCCTTTAAGATATTTTTTTATTCAAATTATATGTAATTCAGAATTATAGATTTTCAGTAAAAAATGATTTTGAATTTGAAGTCTATTTTTAAAAACACATTATGAAGCTTCAGTTATTTAAACAGGTTAACAATGGTACAAGGATAATTAGGCAAATTTGCCGAGTGGAATAGAGAGTTTAGGGACACCCATGTTATAGTTCATTCTGAGGGAAGCATCGTAAATCACTGAGTAAAACACAAACCCTGCCGGGCACGGTGGCTCACGCCTGTAATCCCAGCCCTTTGGGAGGCCGAGGCGGGTGGATCACCTGAGATTGGGGATTCGAGACCAGCCTGGCCAACATGGAGAAACTCCATCACTACTAAAAATACAAAAATTAGCAGGGCGTGATGGTGCGTGCCTGTCATACAGCTACTCGGGAGGCTGAGGCAGGAGAATCATTTGAACCAGGGAGGCGGAGGTTGTGGTGAGCCTAGATCGCGCCATTGCACTCCAGCCTGGGCAACAAGAGCAAAACTCCGTCAAAAAAAATAGTGTAACCCCTAGGCTTGCACATAATAATAAATTCCAGAGGGAATACAGTGAAACGTATACAATGAATGCATAAACTACTGGGAGGAAATGCCAGTCGCTACTTCCAGTACAAACCTGAAGAAGCATAAAAGGGCCGGGCGCGGGGGCTCATGCCTGTAACGCAGGAACTTTGGGAGGCCGAGGCAGGTGGATGGCTTGAGCCTGGGAGTTTGAGACCAGGCTGGGCAACATGGTGAAATCCTGTCTCTACAAAAAATTAAAATAATACGAAGAAGCACAAAAGGAAAGAAACCATTATGGGAAATATGGATAAGGTTTGTTTTGTTTTGTTTTGAGGTAGAGTCTCACTCTGTCACCCAGGCTGGAATGCAGGTGGCACGATCTGGTCTCATGCAGTCTCAGCCTCCCAGGCTGAAGTGATCCTCCCATCTCAGCTTCCAGAGTAGTGACCGCAGGCGAGTGCCACCACACCTCGCTAATGTTTGAATCTTTTTGTAGAAATGGGGTTTTGTTATTTTGGCCAGGCTGTTCTTGAACTCCTGGACTCAAACAATCTACCAGCCTTGGCCTCCCAAAGTGCTGGGATTACAGGTGTGAGCCACTGCCTAGCTCAAAATATGGATAAGTTTAACACAACATGGAGATGGGTTTTCTTAGTTTATTTCAGAGGGATGATTATTTAGTCTACCTAATTTAACTGTATTGGCTTATTGTGCATAATTTTCTTAACAGTTTTTTTTTTTTACAGTGCTTTATTAATTATTGTCATTAAATCACTCATGTTTGTGCTTTTGAGGTTAAAATTGCAGAGTTTTCTCGTACTCCAGAAGACTTTCTAAAGAAATATGATGAACTGAAATCTAAAAATACGAGGAACCTTGACCCGCTGGTGTACCTGTTGTCAAAGCTCACGGAAGACAAAGAGGTAGGTCCCCATGCCGCATGCCACACCGTGCCCGTGCAGCCCGTGTTGGGAGTGAGGTCGCGTCTCCTGCTCTGTCTGCGCCACCTTCCTGTCAGCTCTTCCTCCCTCACACCAGTAACGCTTCTAGACCATGTAGGACACTTTTGGTGAATCAGAATGAAAGATTACCCATGTTGGGTGTAAACATGAGAAGCAGCCTCTGGGGCACTTTGAGCTTCCCCCATGATGGGTGTAAACATGAGAAGCAGCCTCTGGGGCACTTTGAGCTTCCCCCATGATGGGTGTAAACATGAGAAGCAGCCTCTGGGGCACTTTGAGCTTCCCCCATGATGGGTGTAAACATGAGAAGCAGCCTCTGGGGCACTTTGAGCTTCCCCCATGATGGATGTAAACATGAGAAGCAGCCTCTGGGGCACTTTGAGCTCCCGTGTGTGTTGCGCTCAGCTCCTGCCTGTTGCATGCGTTGTTTTGCTATTAACAGGGGTGCCTGTCAGGGTGGGGGGCCGTCCTGGTGGTGTCGCCCCTACTCTCCCACTATGGCCAAAGAGGTGCTGGCCCAGCGTGAACACACAGTTTTACATGTTTTCAGACTCTGCTGTACTTACAACAGAATGCAAAAGAAAGAGCTGAGCTTGCAGCCGCTGCTGCAGGCAGCAGTACCACCAGTGTCAACGTCCCTGCTGCAGCCTCCAAGATCTCCATGCAGGAGCTTGAGGAGCTGAGGAAGCAGCTTGGCAGTGTGGCCACAGGCTCCACGCTACAGCAGGTACTATGTGCATGGCTGTCCACAGGCTCCACGCTACAGCAGGTACTATGTGCATGGCTGTCCACAGGCTCCACGCTGCAGCAGGTACTGCGTCCGTGGCTGTCCACAGGTGCCCATGCTGTAGCAGGTACTGTGTCCATGGCAGTCCACAGGCTCCATGCTGCAGCACATACTGTGTCTGTGGCTGTCCACAGGCACCCACACTGCAGCAGGTACTGCGTTCGTGGCTGTCCACAGGCACCCACACTCAGTGCTGTGCCGGACCCCTGCTGCAAGGGCATGTCTCTCTGTCATTTATTAAAAATGAATCCCAATTTAGAGAGGTCAAGGCTTAACACTTGATCATGACCTAGCTCTATATGTTTATTTTTGTTTTTAAAACCAAGAATTCTGAACCACAAGAATCAATAGCAACAAGGTTCTGACCCACGTGGGAGTTGTGCTGCCAGGTGGCCACGTGACTCTGAGCCTACCCAATCGTGACTCCCCATTTCCCTCCTCTAATTTTTGACAGTTTCGAGGGAATGCTTTCAGATTGTTATAATTTTTATTATTCCTTCCGTATTTGGTACTTGTTCTTGGTTTTGATTTTATGTCCTACCCTGGTCTTTTGATGTAAGCCATCTCCCAGTCTCTCTCCTAGGAGCCGCCACGTACCTGGCTTTGTGACCTTAAAGCTCCCTTTGGAGCTGTGTCCCTGAGGCGTCCTGGCCTTGTGGTGCATGTTGAGTACAGCGGCTCTCGAGGGCCTGGCCGGTTTTTGCTGGGCACATTCTGTGCTGGACATGGTGCTAGGCCTCTGTTCATGTCTCCCTCAGCCCTGGCGCCGCGCTCTGTGTGGCACGTAAGGAGACTGGGTCGTGCTGCCACGTGCAGAAACAGTTTGCACTTGCCCTGTGCCTGACCAGCCCTGAGTGGGAGTCAGTGCTTCCGAAAGCTGGGCCAGCCCAGGCCGACCTGTCAGCTTCCAGCTTCCTCCACTGGCATAGGAGGGCAGGCGCTCTGACCACATGTCAGGAGCCAGCCTGTCGCGCTGGGGCCGTTCTCCAGCAGGGTAAGGACGCAGGTCTGTTGCTAACACCTGTCTTCACCCAGCAAGTGGTGTTCAGACCTAGTCACTGCCAGGAAGAAGCAATTCAGCTTGTTCATGGGGCACCCTCCTCTGAAACAGCGGCTCTGTGCCAAGGTGCCCCCTCTCCTGTGGTTCCCACTGCTGGTGCCCATGGTTTCCCAGGGGGCCCTTGCTGGACCTGGACTCCTGAGAGGAGGGGCTGGGGCTCCCCATCTGCCCTGTTCTCCCCAGCCCCTCGTGTGGCAGGGATATCGAGCTACATTTCATTTCTATGTGGCTGACTCTTTGTGGGTGCTAAATTGACTAATCATCTTTGCTGTAGATGTTAGTTTCTACAGGTGTCTTGAGTGTTTGCACTAAAGTGTATCTTTCTGGTTTTGTTTTTAAAAATGTCCTTGCTAGTCTCTGGAACTTAAAAGAAAGATGCTTCGAGACAAGCAGAACAAAAAAAATTCGGGCCAGCACCTCCCTGTCTTCCCAGCGTGGGTGTATGAGAGACCTGCCCTGATCGGGGATTTCCTGATTGGTGCTGGCATCAGCACAGACACCGCTTTGCCGATAGGTATGTGATGCGTTTATTTCTGGGCTCTGCTGATAGGTATGTGATGGGTTTATTTCTGGCCCCTGGGCAGGACACTCTGAGGCCCAGCCCTCCCCTGGGCCTGCCCTTCCTCAGGTTGTGAGGCTCGATGCTGACTGGCCGCTGCCTCTATATTCCCATCCCAGGGTGGCAGCAGAAAGTGGCTCACCTGGGTCCTTGAGGGTTCTTCTCCCATCCCTCCTGCCAGAACTGTGGGGCAGCCTACAGCAGGCCCCTCCCCAGCTGGCATCCTGGTGCCCTGGTGCAGACCTGCAGGCACTAGAATTGTGCGCAGCACTTACTTCTGAACAGCGGTTCATAACTCCCATAGATTCTGTTCTCAGAGGCCTCTTAAAGTAGTGCTCATGTAAACAAGATGCAAGTGAGACCACACAAAGACGCGGGTGAGACCACACAGTCATTTCAAGGCATGTTGTTGGGGACCCGGGATGTGTTCATCTGTCACAATTCATGGGTACATTTTTATCTACTTTTAATACTTTTGAGATGGAATCTCACTCTGTCGCCCAGGCTGGAGAGCAGTGGCGCGATCTCGGCTCACTGCAACCTCCACCTCCCAGGTTCAAGCAATTCTCCTGCCTCAGCCTCCCAAGTAGCTGGGACTGCAGGTGCCACCACGCCCGGCTAATTTTTGTATTTTTAGTAGAGGTGGGGTTTTGCCATGTTGGCCAGACTGGTCATGAACTCCTGACCTCTGGTGATCTGCCCACCTTGGCCTCCCAAAGTGTGGGATTGCAGGCGTGAGCCACCACACCTAGTCAAGTACATTTTTAGATTGAAAAATGAGATTTCACAAACTTAAGGACAGAGATACCTGCTTGTCTTGCCTCTGTCCATTAGTCCAAACTCAAGAGGCAGCGTGGAACGCGATCTGCTTTCCCACTGCTCGCGCAGCTCTGCGGTGTAGGCACCGAGAGGCCAACCCTTGCCTTTGCCAGAAACCCTGGAGAACGGTGACATGAAATCCACCTGTTTTCCTCATTCCCAACAAACAGAACTCTGCTATAAGTTAATGAAAAGTGTAGAAAACAGTCTACTTTGGCCGGGCGTGGTGGCTCACACCTGTAATCCCAGCGCTTAGGGAGGGTGAGGTGGGTGGATCACCTGAGCCCAGGAATTCGAGACCAGCCTGGGCAACATGACAAGACTAGTCTCTACAAAAAGTATAAAAATTAGCCGAGTGTGGTAGAGGGCACCTGTAGTCCCAGCTCCTCAGGAGGCTGAGGTGGGAGATCACTTGAGCCTGGGAGGTGGAGGCTGCAGTGAGCTGTGATCATGCCACTGCACTCCAGCTTGGGCAGCAGAGTAAGACCCTGTTTCAAAAAAAAAGAAAACAGTCTGCTTTGTGCAGTGTGTTTTCAGTAATAATCCAACTGTGAAGACTTCGGGAGAGAGAGCCGCTCCCTTAGCGGGTATTTAGCGGGCAGCCGGGGCAGCAGTGGGCATCTGAGAGCTCCTGATGATGCCCAGGGAGGCGTCAGAGAAGGACGCGCGGGTCCCTGGTGCCCGAGATCCTGGCAGTGGAGCACAGCGGAGCCAGCTTTCTGGAGCAGGAAGTACCAAGGGGGGTGTTCAGGCTTTCCCCCCATGTTTCCCCATCCAGGGAAGGGGCTGTGTCCAATAACGCTGGGCGCCACGGGCAGCTCTGAGCGTGGCGGTGATTGGAAGCAAGTGTGTGGGACTCGGCTGTCAACCCTGCAGCCGGCTCTCAGGTCAGGGTGCGGGTGCCCTCGGCACACTCAGCACCCTAGGGAAGGGGCGGCCTTGCCCCACCTCCCTCCCACGGCCACAGGTCCCAGGGGTGCCACCGGCATCGAGCCTGCCTCGCCTCCCTTTGTCCGCACTGTCCCCGCCCCCTCGTGCCGCCTGTGCAGACTCGAGAATGGAGCTCACCATGGTGTTCGTGCGGGGCCTGTCCAGCCCTTACCCCACGATTTGACCAGTGCCACACCACGGGACCTTGCATGACCTGGGGCCAGCGTCCTCTGGAAAACACCCCTGGAGTGGTGTGTGATGAGCACACGTGCCTTGGAAAGCATCAGAACCTTGTGAGCACGAGGCGGCTGCCAGCCCTCCACGTTCCCGCCGTGCCTCTCCATAGTGTGGGCGTCCACCTGGCCAGCGCCGTCGCGGCAGTGCCCTCCCTCTCGTCGCTGCTGTGCAGCGTGCAAAGCTGTTTGCCTAACCGCGTCCTGCCTTTTCCCCACACCGGCACGGAGGAGCCACGTGGTCAGTGGTCGTTCGGACGTGGTGATTCGCAGACGACGACGCAGGCGTTGAGAAGACACCAAGGATGTTGAATGTTGGGGAGGTGAAGCAACTGACTTCTTTTTTTCTTGAGACAGGGTCTCACTTCGTTGCCTTGGCTGGAGTGCAGTGGCGTGATCTCAGCTCACTGCAGCCTCGACCTCCCAAGCTCAGGTGATTCTCCCACCTCAGCCTGCCGAGTAGCTGGGACTGCAGGCGTGCACCATCACACGCAGCTAATTTCTGTATTTTTAGTAGAGACGGGAATTTGTCATGTTGCCCAGGCTGGTTTGAACTGGAGTCAAGCGATCTGTCCACCTTGGCCTCCTAAAGTGATGGGATTACAGGTGTGAGCCGCCGTGCCCGGCCTTGAGGTCCCTCCACGGTCAGGCGGCCGGATCCACACTAACCCCCACCCCACCGTGAGGCTTCTCCCCACACGGGCATTGGCCAAGGCTTCGTGGCTGTGGGTGAATGAGGCCAACATGGTGGAAAGTAAGTGGTGCAGAGTCAGAGGCAGTTCCTGGAAGATGCACTTGCTGTTCTCGAAACCCCAAGCCACACCTACTGCTTTAGGAATGGCAGACCTCGGGGTCTCGGTGTTATTGGTCATCCTGAGAAAGCCACTGGAGTAATAGACAGAAATGGAACTTGAAGTTGAAAAGTGTAGATCTGCCAGCCTGGGCAACACGGCCAGACCCCACCTCTACAAAAAATTTAAAAATTAGCCGGGAATGGTGGCATGCCCCTGTGTTCCCAGCTCTGAGGGAGGCTTAAGAGGCAGGATCGCTTGAGCCTGGGTGCTCAAGGCTGCAGTGAACTGAGATTGCACCACGACACTCCAGCCTGGGTGACAGAGCAAGATTTGTCTCAAAAAGGAAAAAAAAACAAGGACAATGTGGATCTGCATCGTGATTGAGGCTTTTGCCGAAGGGCTTGCGTTGGTGACGGATTGCAGCTGCGCTCAGAGTCTTGAGGCCTGCAGTGCAGGACACTTCCCAGCAGACGTGTGAGGCCGACAGTGATTTTGTAAACTGGAAGCGTGTTGTTTGGAGCCTTCCTGAGCTGCTAGGGCCTGGTTTGGGTGTGGTCTGGCTGGCACGGGGCCCTGTCAGGCCCACATGGGGACAGTTTCAACATCGTGCTTTCCTCTGGTGCTCCTCCCGGCCCCCCAGGCAGGGCCCGCCTGAGGCTGTGGACTGAGAACTTGGTCCTGGGACGTGAGGGGTTTGGTGGGTGACGGCCTGTGGCTGTCCTCATGAGGAAACTTAGCTGTGTGTCCTGCAGCCGTCTCATGCTGTGTGGATAGAAATTATCAGTATTTCTTAACGTATAAATGATAACTTTTTGAAGACAAGGTTTTTTGTACCAGAGTAACCCAGACTTACCAAGTTGTACTTACGAATGTTGAAAGTGCTGCTTCTGCTGGAGTTGCCTTTTCAACTCCTAACTTCATCTTTTCAAATGTCAGCCATTATCTGAGCATCGCAGAGCCCAGCGTGGTGAGACCTTGACACAAGCCCCTGCGCCTCCCAGGCCGGCCGCGTCCTGTGGTGGCCGGAACTCAGCCTGTGGCTGCCCCGTGGGGTCAGTCAAAGCCATGTGCAGTGGCTGACCTTTTATACCCATAAACAAAGACGACGAGCAAGAGTGAGACTGACCCGCGGAGGAGGCACGTGGCTGTGGGGGCGTGGGAGTGGGGGCCGCGGAGCCACAGCGCTGTCTGTGCCTGCAGGCACGCTGCCCCTGGCCTCGCAGGAGTCGGCCGTGGTGGAGGACCTGCTGTACGTGCTGGTGGGCGTGGACGGGAGGTACGTCACTGCTCAGCCCCTGGCTGGGAGGCAGAGCCGGACCTTCCTTGTGGACCCCAACCTGGACCTGTCCATCAGGGAGCTGGTGAACAGAATCCTCCCGGTGGCTGCCAGCTACTCCACCGTGACCAGGTGGGCACCGGGTGCGGTCGCTGGGGGCGTGCCCTGTTGTGGGGGAGGGGTTGGGTCCCGTCCTGATGACCATGGGGACAGTGCCAGACTCAGTTTTGGAGGGTCTGTGAGTCACCGTCCAGGGTCCTGACGCATCTCCTCCTAGGGGCAAAAGTTCCCCTCTGGGATGTGGGGTTCGAGTGAGTCATGTGCTTCCTGTTTGGGATGAGACTTAGAATGTCAGACGTTGGATGTGCCTGCAGCTTGCCTTTTTGAGGAAGTCTGACAGCTTTTCTCATAGGTTCATTGAAGAAAAGTCTTCCTTCGAGTACGGGCAGGTGAACCACGCCCTGGCGGCCGCGATGCGCACTCTGGTGAAGGAGCACCTGATCCTGGTGTCACAGCTGGAGCAGCTGCACAGGCAGGGCCTCCTTTCGTTGCAGAAGCTCTGGTTCTACATCCAGCCGGCCATGCGCACCATGGACATCCTGGCCTCCCTCGGTGCGTGCCCGCCCGGGGGGCATGGGGCAGTGGGTGGCAGGTGTCTCAACACAGCACCCGGTGTGAGGAGAGACCGCAGGGGCTGTGGAGCAGCCGCCCAGGGCAGGTGCGTGCGGCCAAAGCCCCTGTTGCTCCATGTGTTATTAACTTGCAAGAGGAAAGCCCTGGAGGCTCTCACTGGTCAGCTTAAATCAGCAGCTACAGCCATACAGTTCATACGTATCCCAGAGAAGCAGCAGCACGTCCCAGTAAGAAGGCTGGAGAAGCACGTGGGGCCCCAGCAGTGTTGTTGCTAGGCTAGGCGTGCACTTCCTTCTCGGCAGTGAGCCTTTCTTTCTCCCCGCAGCCACCTCGGTGGACAAAGGCGAGTGTCTTGGGGGGTCCACACTGAGCCTGCTCCATGACAGGAGCTTCAGCTACACAGGGGACAGCCAGGCGCAGGAACTCTGCCTGTACCTGACCAAGGCGGCCAGCGCTCCCTACTTTGAGGTTCTGGAGAAGTGGATCTACAGGGGCATCATCCACGACCCATACAGGTAGGGCTCCTGGGACACGGAGGACGCGTGCCGCCCTGTCCCGTACAGGTAGGGCTCCCCGGGGACACACAGGACGCGTGCCGCCCTGTCCCGTACAGGTAGGGCTCCCCGGGGACACACAGGACGCGTGTCGCCCTGTCCCGTACAGGTAGGGCTCCCGGGACACGGAGGACGCGTGCTGCCCTCTCCGGGGGGCTCTGGCCTTGCTTTGCTTGTGGTCTCAGGAAAGCACACACCAGACAGGTGTCCACTTGCTGCTGCCCATGCGGCCCAGGACAGGAATGGCCCAGCTGCTTATGGCCTTATTCTTTTGTGTGCAGGACATTAAATTGCCTCCAGCTGGGTCCTTCAGCCTCTTTGGTGCATGGATTTCCTGATCTGGTGGGGTCTGTCGGCTTCTCTTCGGCGAGATATATTTAAATGCATAAATATATGTTAGTTCCCAAAGCATTGTATTAATGTCTATCATGTCGACATACCATTGTTGAAATATTTTCAGAAGATGCATGTGTGATGTGGACGTATTATGTCTTCCCTAACGGACCAAATACAATGTGGTACAATGGGCACCTTTAAACAAAGCATCTTCGCACTCGAAGCAGATGATGTTTGAGGTTGTTGAGATGACAACGTGGAGATGTCTGGTTTCTGTCCGTGTTGGCCCCACGCACCCCACACGAGCATCATTTTGTTGCCCGGGTTCATCATGGAAGGAAATGCTAAATTCCAAAAAGAGGCAGGTGCAGATAAAGACAAATCAGTTTCCCACCTAGCTCTGCGGACCCTGCATTCTCCCTGAGCCCAGGTTAAATGCTCCGTTCCAGAGTGAGGTTTGTAGGTTTGTTTGGTTTTCTTTTTTTTCTTTTTCTTTTTTTTTTTGAGACAGTCTCGCTCCGTTGCCAGGCTGGAGTGCGGTGGCGTGATCTCGGCTCACTGCAACCTCCACCTCCCAGATTCAAGTGATTCCCCTGCCTCAGCCTCCCAAGTCACTGGGACTACAGCCGCATACCACCTCGCCCGGCTGCTTTTTTGTATTTTGGTAGAGACGGGGTTTCACTGTGTTGGCCAGGATGGTCTTGATCTCTTGGCTTTGTGATCCACCCACCACAGCCTCCCAAAGTGCTGGGGTTACAGGTGTGAGCCACCGCGCTCGGCCCCTAGGTTTGTTTTAGCCCACAGTTGAGAAATAACTGGTAGGTTAGGCTTGGCCCTTGTGGAACGTTACTTGGAAGTATGCTGGCCTCCGTTAAGGTCCCTCCACGCTGCCAGCCTGGAGAAGTGTGTCGTCTGCCTCACAGGCGCCCTTGCTTTGCCTGTGACCGAAGCACTCCCTGTGGTTTTAGTGAGTTTATGGTCGAGGAGCACGAGCTTCGGAAGGAGAGGATCCAGGAGGATTACAATGACAAGTACTGGGACCAGCGGTACACCATCGTCCAGCAGCAGATCCCTTCCTTCCTGCAGAAGGTGGCGGACAAGATCCTCAGCACAGGTGCAGTGCACACAGCGGGGACCTGGCCCAGGGCCGCAGCACAGCTCTGCCTGGAGAGTCTACTGCAGCCCAGGCCCTCCCGCGGGAGCCTGCGCCTCACCCTGTGGGCGTCCTGAGCCTGGGTGTCCGTGAATGTGGGGCCGAGGTCAGGACCAGCCCATGAGCTGGGCTGCAGTGCTGAGTTAGGCCGTGAGATGGTCTCTGTTGCCAGGTTTCATCAGGTTTCCGTTGCCAGGACTTTGTTTTGTCCCTGACCCTAGGAGGCTCTCTCACGGGTGCCTTCCCTATTTCTCATTTCTGATTTCTAAAACTCCATTAGCATGACAGGAAAAACTGTCAAAGACACGCGCCTGCTGACCGGCAGTGTTTTCAGTCTCTTGACCACACAGGTTAGGGCCTGACCTAGACCCGGGGCAGCGGTGCGGGGTTGGACTCGGCACATCGGGGCCGTCACAAAAGGGTTGGGAAGCGGTTAGCCATCTGGTTCTCATAATGCCTTTTCGAAATTATTTCTGTGCCCTTGGTTAGAAAATTCCAGATGTGCAGAGCCACGGCAAAGCCCTGACGCCACCCGCTCAGTCTGTAGCAGCTGACCGTGATTTACCAGGAGGGAGCAAGGGTGTGGAGCCGCCTCATGCAGCCCAGTTTCCAGTCCACTGCCTCCTGTGTAGACGAAGACAGCTAGGGCCTGAGATCGACCATGTGGAGAATAAAACTTTTAATTTCTATCCGTTTTCAGGAAAATATCTAAATGTGGTCAGAGAGTGTGGCCATGACGTCACCTGCCCGGTGGCTAAAGAGATCATCTACACGTTAAAAGAGCGGGCATACGTGGAGCAGATCGAGAAGGCATTTAACTATGCCAGCAAGGTGCTGCTGGACTTCCTGATGGAGGAGAAGGAACTGGTGGCACACCTCAGGTGATTCGCTGCTCTGTCCCTGTGCGGGCGCTCGCCTCCCTCAAACCGGAGCCTGTGGGACGTGGGGCTGAGATTGCTGGGTTTCTTCTGGCAGCTCTGCCTTGTCTTTTTGAAAGTGGGCACTGCCAGATGGTCTCTAGCTCAAGGACCTGGCACGCACAGTCGGTGGTGTAGGCCCCGGGTCACCTTGTCCAGGGGCCCCAGCTCCCTTCCTTGCCCAGGGCCCACCAGCCCCTTCTCGGCTCTTCCTGCCACAGCCTACATGGTGGTCGCACAGCCCCTGCCCGAGAGCCAAGCGCTTAGCCCGTTGTGGTGTGTTTTAGCATGATGGCTGTGGCGAGCACCTGCGGGTGGGACGTGCTCACGCCTGCTCCCTGGCTGTGGTGGGCACCTGCGGGTGGGACGTGCTCACGCCTGCTCCCTGGCTGTGGCGGGCACCTGCGGGTGGGACGTGCTCACGCCTGCTCCCTGGCTGTGGCGGGCACCTGCGGGTGGGACGTGCTCACTCTGCTCCCTGGCTGTGGCGGGCACCTGCGGGTGGGACGTGCTCACGCCTCTGCTCCCTGGCTGTGGCGGGCACCTGCGGGTGGGACGTGCTCACGCCTGCTCCCTGGCGCAGGTCCATCAAGCGCTACTTCCTCATGGACCAGGGCGACTTCTTCGTGCACTTCATGGACCTGGCGGAGGAGGAGCTCCGGAAGCCGGTGGAGGACATCACGCCCCCCCGCCTGGAGGCGCTGCTGGAGCTGGCCCTGCGCATGAGCACGGCCAACACTGACCCCTACAAGGACGACCTCAAGGTGGGCGGGGGCGCCGGGGGCTGCCACCTCAGGCAGGGGCCTCGGAGGGGCTGGGAGGAGAGCGCAGCAGAGGCCAGCCCTGTCCCCTACTCCCCGCCCGGGTGGGGCAGCCGCGGGGTCTGTTTCCTTCACTCTCGGCTGTGGGGGCTGCTTGCCGGGATCGGGGGTCTTTGCACCTGTGCTCACGAGGGGCACAGGTCTCGGGTTTTCCCGCAGTGCGCTTGTCAGCCTGGGTGTCAGGTTGTCAGCCTGGGTGTCAGGTTGTGCTGGCCTTGTGGAATGAGTATGGACCTGTCCCTCCACCTGCTTTTTGAAAGGGTTTCAGGAGTGGTGTTCTTTTTGTTTTTGTCTTTCTGTTGTTGTTGTTTTTTGTTTTTTTTTTTTTGAGACAGAGTTTCGCTCTTGTCACCCAGGCTGGAGTGCAGTGGCGCGATCTCAGCTCACTGTAACCTCCGCCTCCCGGGTTCAAGCGATGCTCCTGCCTCAGCCCCACGAGTAGCTGGGATTACAGGTGCGCACCACCATGCCCGGCTAGTTTTTGTATTTTTAGTAGAGAAGGGGTTTCGGCCGGGGGTGGTGGCTCACGCCTGTAATCCCAGCACTTTGGGAGGCCGAGACCGGTGGATCACAAGGTCAGGAGATTGACACCATCCTGGCTAACACGGTGAATGGCGTGAACCCGGGGGACAGAGCTTGCAGTGAGCTGAGATCGCGCCATTGCACTCCAGCCTGGGCGACAGAGTGAGACTCCGTCTCAAAAAAAAAAGGGGGGGTTTCACCATGTTTCCCAGGCTGGTCTTGAACTCCTGACCTCAGGTGATCCACTCACTTTGGCCTCCCAAAGTGCTGGGATTACAGGCGTCAGCCACCATGCCTAGCTGTTTGTTTTTTGTTTTTTTTTTCTGTTTGTTAATTTTTGTTTTTGATAGAGACGGGGGTCTCACTATGTTGCCCAGGCTGGTTGAACCCCTGGGCTCAAGCGATCCTTCCACCTTTGCCTCCCCAGGAGTGTGTGGATTCTTGGATGTTTGACAGGGTTTGCCTGGGAGCCCTTGGGCCCTGGGCTTGTCTTTGTTGGAGGCTTTTGAGGCGGACTTGGCCCCTTGCTGGCCACAGGTCAGCTCAGTCCCTTTCCTCTTGGTCAGCTGTCCGTCTTGCATCTCGTCTGGTGCACAGTTCATGGAATTCTAGTATCAACTTTTTATTTCTGTGAGGCTAGTAGTTATATCCCTTCTTTTTCTGATTCTAGTAATTTGAATGTTCTTTCATCTTTTCTTAGCTGATGTAGCTGGGAATTTGTCGATTTCATTGAGCTTTTCAAAGAACCAACTCTTGGGTTTTTTGACTGTTTTTCTGTTTTCTCTCTTCTGTCATCTTTGTTACTCTTTCTATCTGCTGCTTAGGGGCTTAGTGTGGTCTTTTTTCTAGTTTCTTAATTTGCAAAGTTACTTTACAGCTGTAAACATCCCTCTGCGCGCGGCCTTCGCTGATCCCCCAGCGCCGTCACTTCTGTTTGTCTGGAGGTATTCCTGATTCCCTCTAATTTCTTGTTGGAGTCGTGGGTGGTTTATGTTTAACTTCCACATTTGTGAATTTTCTGGTTTTCCTTCTGTTACTTGTTTCTAACTTTATCTATTTGTGGTTAGAGAACAGGCTGTGTGATTTCAGTTTTGTGAAATGTATTGATTTGTGTAGTGGCCCCACATCTATCCTGGAGAGTGTTCCGTGTGCTCGGGAGAACGCGCCCTCGGTTCCGTGCGCGCTGGAGGAGGAGGCGCCCTCGGTTCCGTGCGCGCTGGAGGAGGAGGCGCCCTGGGTTCCGCGCGCGGGAGGAGGAGGCGCCCTCGGTTCCGTGTCTGCGGGAGGAGGAGGCGCCCTTGGTTCCGTGCGCTCGGGAGGAGGAGGCGCCCTGGGTTCCGCGCGCGCGGGAGGAGGAGGCGCCCTCGGTTCCGTGTCTGCGGGAGGAGGAGGCGCCCTTGGTTCCGTGCGCTGGGGAGGAGGAGGCGCCCTTGGTTCCGTGCGCTCGGGAGGAGGACGTGCCTTCGGCCGCTGTTGGGTGGTCTGCAGTTGGGGTCCTGAGGCCCTGTCTTACCTCACTGATCTTCTGTCGGGCGGTTCTCTCCATGATTAGAAGTAGGGCACCGAGTCTCCCTGTCACTGAAGAGCTGTTTTTCTCCTTGTCGTTCTGTCTATTCTTGCTTCAGATATTTTGGGGTCTCTTGTTAGGAGCAGGAATGTTAATTGTTGGGTCAAACTATATGACCCTTGTACAACTAGGCTGACCTGGCTGGACTTCAGTCCCAGGACGCTGGGCCACACAGCTGGGGGCTGCTGTCTGCACACCTGCGAAAGCCGCCGTCTTGTCTGCTCCATGGAGAAGTGACGTCAGGGGTTCATTTCTGCGTTCCTGACGGTCGGCGATTTCGTCTGTTTCTTCTTGCTTTATTCTCTGCCCTTCATTTTCTGTCCTGTCGTTGTGTGATGGTTTTGTAGGAACTCTGTCAGGTAGTTGGAACTTAGTAAGTACTTGAATGATTAACATGAGGACAGTATTACTTGTCCATAATAACTAGTATATCCCTCATCACATATGCTTTATTTTTCAACCTGGGCCTGGTGCTTATCGTGTACTAAGGTTTCCGTCCTAAGGAATCACCTTTCTTTCACCATCCCAAGCGTTTTTCCCTTACACCATCCACAGCAGCAGTGGGTATTTACAAAGTACTTCATCTGAATTTCTCTTGTTTTGTTTTGATAGGAAGTGGTTCAGTTTTGAATTTGATTTATCAGTAGACGTTTGGGTTTTCGAAAAGCCTCTGAGGTTTAGAATCGGAATGTAGGGAACCTTATGTCAGCACTGGGTCTGTGAGCGTGGATGGTGTCGGGATGGGACTTCGCGTTTTTTCCTTAAAACAGGATGCTTTGTTTCATTTCCTTCCCTCCAAGATCGACCTGATGCCTCATGACCTCATCACTCAGCTCTTGCGTGTTCTGGCGATCGAGACCAAGCAGGAGAAGGCGATGGCCCACGCCGACCCCACAGAGCTGACGCTGAGCGGCCTGGAGGCCTTCTCTTTCGACTACATCGTCAAGTGGCCCCTTTCACTCATCATCAACAGGTGCGGGTCGGCCACTCAGGCACTCGCTAGGTCTTCACTCAGGTTTAGCAGAAGCGAGAACTGTGCCACCCAGTGGCCACCTCGTCCCACAGAGGACCCAAGGCGGGTGTCCCCGGCCTTCAGTGCCCGGGGGATTCATGGGTTGTCCGGGGGCCACCGTGCAGACTGTGGAGCACAGACGGCATGTGCATGACGCCACCTGTCACGGAGGCCCGCCTGAGTTGCCACTGCCTCTCTTGCAGGAAGGCCCTCACTCGCTACCAGATGCTCTTCAGGCACATGTTCTACTGCAAGCACGTGGAGCGGCAGCTCTGCAGCGTCTGGATCAGCAACAAAACCGCCAAGCAGCACTCGCTGCACTCCGCCCAGTGGTGCGTTCCTCCTCTGTCCCCCGTGTGCCCTCCTGGTAGACAGCTCTGCTTTCTAGGCTTCTGGAAACGTCATCTGGAAGCGCACGTTTGTAGCTTTAGATCCATAATGCTTCATTTTCCTGCCTTGGGGCTGCGCGGCGCTGCCGTCCACCCCTCAGGGAATGCTGGCTCTGTCCCTCAGCCCTCTCTGGAGCCTTGTGGTGACTGCACGGGCATGGAGACCACCCAGGTCAGTGTGCAGGACATAAGCTCCTCCCGAGAGCGGGCAGCCACATCTTGCTGGAACCAGAGGTGCTTTGCTGCTGGTCTGTGGCTCTAGGGTGTTGGAAAAAGGGGTCGATGGCAGAGCTGCTTAAGAATTTGTCCAGTCGGGTGCGGTGGCTCCTGCCTGTAATCTCAGCACTTTGGGAAGCTGAGGTGGGAGGATTGCTTGAGCCCACGAGTTTGAGACCAGCCTGGACAATGTAATGAGAGCTCATCTCTTTAAAAAAAAAAAAAAGGAAAATTGTTTTAATGAGCTGGGAATGCCTGTAGTTCCGGTGACTCAGGAGGCTAAGGTGGGAGGATTGCTTGAGCCCAGGAAGTCAAGGCTGCAGTGAGCCAAGATCCAGCCACTGCACTGCAGCCTGGGCGACAGCAAGACCCTGTCTTTCAAAAAAAAAAATTAGATGAAAAAGACGTCATCTCAGTCATGAAGCACAAATGTGCATCTGCTGTGTGGCACCTTCCTGGTGTGGGCTCCTGGGGCTCCAAGGAGTCCGTCCACCAAGGAGCCCGCATCCCAGTCTCCACTGTCCGGCTGCTGGGGGTGTCCCTGCGGGGCACAGGTTGGTAGACAGTGACAGCTTGTGCTGGGCAGACACAGGAGCAGTGGCCATGTCTGATGGACTGGGAGGGGCACCTGTTTTGCAGAGGAAACAGCCACGTCCACTGGGTGCCGTCAGGGCCACGTCCTCCATGGCTGTCCTCCGTCCTCTGTGTCACTCAGGTTTGCCGGGGCTTTCACTTTGCGGCAGCGAATGCTCAACTTCGTCCAGAATATTCAGTACTACATGATGTTCGAAGTGATGGAACCGACCTGGCATATCCTGGAGAAAAACCTGAAATCTGTGAGTTTTAGCTCCATAGATCGTAACAATTGAAAGCCAGTTTCCTTTCACATAATTAATGTGAGGGAGACAGGGCAGGAGAGGCAGGGGGAGGGCAGAGGCAGGGGGAGGGGAGAGGCAGGGGAGGGGAGAGGCAGGGGGAGGGGAGAGGCAGGGGGAGGGCAGAGGCAGGGGTTCCCCCCGGGGCGGAGCTGTCCCAGCATTGCTGGCCACACAGGGGACCCCTTGCTGCCTGCCATCATCTGGGGACTCTGAGCCGTCATTGCCCCTAGGGTCATCCCTTCCACACTGCGCCTCTGAGGCTGAGGGGCCTGAAGGCAGAATCTGTCGTTACCAAATTCTAAAAGCAGCCGCAGCCTCCCTTCCTGTCTTCTGCCTTAAGAACTGAAACCCCTTCGGGGCGTGCCCATCATTTTTTTAGTGGTGTTTGGAAGTTTTCCCCTAAAAGCCCAAGGCCCATTTAAGAGGTGGAAATGCGTGAACAGGAATGCGCAAAGCCCAAACTGAGCACGTGCGCACGCGAAGCCCGTCTGTCGGCCACGTCTTTCTGAGAAGGGGCTTGGTCTGTTCCCCAAAGGCCTCCAACATCGATGACGTCCTTGGCCACCACACGGGCTTCCTGGACACCTGCCTGAAGGACTGCATGCTCACCAACCCCGAGCTGCTGAAGGTCTTTTCCAAGCTCATGTCTGTGTGCGTCATGTTCACCAACTGCATGCAGGTGCGTGGGCGCGGGCGGCACCGTTGGGTGGGCAGACCGTATCCCGACCGCGGCCACACGCAGCCTGCTCACATTTTCCTGCCCTTGTGTGGGTGGAGGAGCCGCTGGGATCTGAGTGTTTCCAGAACTCCCGGTCTTCCTGGCCGGGTGGTTCCCTCCTGGAGCCCCTGCCCTGGCAGCGTGAGCAGGGCTGTGTTCCTCCAAACCATCCCTCAGCCTCCGTGGTGCTGGTCTCTGTCTGGGGCCTTTGTTCATGGCCCTTGTGCGCTCTTTTCCTCAGCACTTGAGTTATTTGGTTCTGTTAAGGACCTGTGGGCACTAGTCACAAGCAGCTGCCCAGTGGCGATGGCGCAGAACCTGAGCGTCTAGCGGCAGAAGGGGCACCTGGGGCTACGCTAGGGCTCCAGGGGTCTGGGGATCAGGCTCTCCAGGCAGTGCCATGGGGAGGGTCCGGAGGAGGGCACGGGCGCTTTGAGCTATTGCTGACATGTGAGAGCCATCTCAGGGTCCCAAATAGGGAAACACAAAAAACACTGCTCTTAGGAAAATTAGTTGGTCTCTGTGAAGGCAGACCTGGGAATTCTGTCGGCACAGCTGAAGTCATTTCCCCTGCAGCCGCGGGGATGCTCGTGTGTTCCTGCAGCCGCGGGGATGCTCGTGTGTTCCTGCAGCCGCGGGGATGCTTGTGTGTTCCTGCAGCCGCAGGCTACAACAGAGATGCGGCGGGTGATGTACCTGCAGGAGTTGTTTTTTCTGCAAAGCGTTGTGGTTGTAACTAACAGAAGCATTTCCTTGCGACTCTCCACCCACTAGAAATTTACACAGAGCATGAAATTGGACAGCGAGCTGGGCGGGCAGATGCTGGAGCAAGGCACCGTCCCGGAGCTGCCCACAGGGGCCGAGGAGCGGGCCCGGAAGGAGCTCACCAGGAAGGTGCGTGGCCTCCAGGGTTGGCCAGAGAGAGACGCTTCCTCCCGCCTGGGGCAGCGGCCTGAGCATCCTGACACAGGGAGAACAAACCTCCCCCCCTTTTTTTTCCGTCTCCCCTCGGATTGAAGAAAAGACTTAAAAGTTGCTTCTAAGCACAAGCACAAGAGCCTCTCACAACCTTCTCAGCTCGCTGGTTCCCACCTCAGCCAGTCGGACTCGAGGGCGCCCCCACAGATCTTCAGAGCAAGCACTGTGCAGGGCACCCTGGTGAGGACAGGGGCCACAGCCGCTGTCCCTGCTGAGTGCCGGTCCTGAGTCAGAACCATCAGGCTCTCAGCAGGCACGGACAGGCCGCATGTCCTCGGAGGCATGGCCCTGCAGCACCAGCTCTGGAGTGGCATGAGGGGGTGGGTAGTCCCGTGTTCACACGCTGGAGTGGAGCTGCAGAGAGAAGTTGGGTTTGGGGGCCTGTGGGGGCCGGAAGTGAGGGACACTGAGAGGCGCCCCGACCTCCTTGCTGAGAAGCTGCTGGGAAAGCTTGTGCTTTGCTTGTAGATCTGACCCCAAAGGAGAGCTTGAGGTACAGTCTTGTGGGGTCTGATCCTTGAGCACCTCATCCCGCGAGGCCTGGAGTGTTTCTCTGAGTGCTGGGTTTTCAGGAACGTTTTTTGACGTCCTTTTTACCTTGAATCCCATGAAAACATCGTGGAACTTATGTTTTCTATTTAAGAAAAGAGGAAGGGAAAGGACATCGGCCTGCTGGGAACAGCGTGGAGCCAGGAAGGCCCGGGGTGGGGGTGGGCATGGCTCACGTGCCCCGGCTTTCTTTCCAGCACCTGGCCGAGCACGCGGACGCTGCGCAGCTGGTGTCTGGCTTCGAGGCCACCATCAACAAGTTTGACAAGAACTTCTCAGCCCACCTGCTGGACCTCCTGGCTCGGCTAAGCATCTACAGCACCAGTGACTGTGAGCACGGCATGGCCAGCGTCATCTCCAGGTGGGTGGGCGCCTGCCCCGGCCCAGCGCCTCCCCCAGCCCAGCCCAGTGCCTGCCCTAGCCCAGCCTAGTGCCTGCCCCCGCCCAGAGCCTGCTCTAGTCCAGCGCCTGCCGGCCCAGCGCCTCCCCCACCCCAACACTTGCCCCAGCCCAGCGCCTGCCCCAGCTCAGCACGTGCCCCTGCATCCAGGCCCCATCTCCCCTGCACCCTCCCCTGGTCCACCTGGTGTAGTCTCCTTCAGAAGGTGGGGCAGGTCTGTGTCCTGGTGCTAGTGCTGGTCATGTGCTACTCCCTGAAGTCAGGCTAGCCCGGCTCTCCCTGGGGTGTGACATTCTGTGCAGCTGGGCTGCCCCGTTGGCACCCTGCGGCTGTGTGTGTCCTGTGGGGCTGGTCAGGCCTGGGTCAGCTTCCCTCATGCTGCACTGAACGCCTAGCCTGGGGAAAGGGGCCCAGCCCTCGGGGGCAGGGAGGGGAAAGGTGGCCAAGCTGCCGGCCCGGAAGAGGTGCTGACCGGGAATTGGGGGTGCTGTCCTTGGGTGGGGGCTGTCCTTGGGAAAGTGCCTATTTGTGCTTTTGGACCACACTGTGCCCTGTACCCCCAACAAACGTCCTGATTTCCTGAGCAGGGGTTTCTGAGGCCACCCTGCATTGAGAACTACTGCTTGATTCTCCAAGCCCCTGACACCTCAGGCCCCATTGCCAGGCCCTGCTGAGGTGACGGGAGCCCCAACTTTCTGGGGCCAGGAGAGAAGAAACCTGTGTTTGTGCCTTTGACCAGGACTGCACAGGACTGAAGACCCTTCTGTGGAAACATTAGTTAGGTGTCTCACCCTCACCCCTGCAGGGCCTCCTGTGGTCTCTGTAGCTGAGCACTTCCCCATGGTAGGAGCAGGGCTGCCCAGCATGCACCCACAGAAGGGGTGCGTGCCCCAGCTCCACCGTCCTCCCTCACAGGCTTGACTTCAACGGCTTCTACACGGAGCGCCTGGAGCGCCTGTCTGCAGAGAGGAGCCAGAAGGCTGCTCCCCAAGTGCCTGTCCCGCGAGGGCCCCCGGCTCCTGCACCCAGGGTCGCAGTCACCGCACAGTGAGCCTTGGCTGCAACAGGAAGGAAGGGTGTGGGGTCAGCAGCAACTGGTGCAAATGGGTCCAGAATTTTCAAATCAAAATGCTCTGTGTTCTCTGTCTTTGCAGTTTAAATATAAAGCAGGCATGATTGACTTACCTCATTTTGTTTCTGAAGGCGCTGGGTTTCATTTTATAGAAGCTGCTCAGACAGGGTGGGTGTCTCCCTGGATTTGCTAGTCTGTTTGCTTTTTAAAATTACACTATCACCTTTTTGGGTGTTTTTGGCCTCAAAGTGGAAATACATGGTGTTTAAGCAAGAAGCAAGCAAAGATGCATGCGAGGTGAGATCCAGGCCTGGTGTCCACATCCTTCCAGGTGAGCTGGGGCCAGGCTCCCTGAGGTCGGTCGGAACCGGGAAGAGCCTCTGAAAATGGCCAGGGAATCCCCGAAACCCGCCAGGCGTTGGGTTTGCTTCAGCCCCAGAGGCAGCCCCGTTCCTTCTCCTGAGGACTCACCCACCTCCATGCCCCTCCTCCTGCTGCTGCTCCAACTGGTCTGGAGCAGGAGGCCACGGCAGGGCCCTCAGGCACCTGGGAGCCCACACCTCCCCCTCCATGGGACGTACCCACTGAAGAGTGGCCACGGGGCAGGCTCTGCTCCTGGCTGGCACCCCTGCCCCACCCTATCCGGTGCTGCCTTGTCACGTAGAAGTTACTCAGCAGATTGACACCCTACCCAGTCCCCCTCGGGCAATCGTCTGCCCTCTGTCTTCCCACCTTCTCCAGGGCTACAGTGCGCAGCACAGCCATCCCCGGTGTGACAGGGCCCTGGGAGCCTCAGGGCTGCCCTGGCCAGGTTGGTCTGCTCTGGCTACGTTCTGGCCAGGCTGCCCCTTCCTGCTGACCTGCATGTGTGTTGTCACCGTTCAGCTCAGCACCTCGGCCCCCTTGGGCAGCGAGGAAGGGCCCTGGAGGCGAGGTTGGGAGGAACGATGGCTGGAACAGTTTCCTGTGGGGAACAAGGGTGTGGGCAGCTCTCGCCCGGGGCTGCCTCACTGAGAACACCACAGAGCGGGGGTGTGGGGGTGTCCGACTCTCGAGCCACAAACTGCTTCCTCTCGTCTGCATCCTGTGCAGGTCTGGCCTGTGAGTAAACACATTTGTCAGCAACCCGAGTTGTCACAGTCTCAGTGTTGGGCAAATGCTGGGCCCGTGAGCAGAGGATCCTGCTAGCTTTCCTGCCTGGCCGCAAGGCCCAGAAACCCCTGGTCTTGTCTCCTGGGCTCTGGGAAACCCTGGGCCTTGAGAAGTGGGGTTTGCAGGTGGTGACAGGAGGAGAGGAGGGAAACCTCCAGGGCTGTGGAGTCCAGGTTCCCAGATCCCCCGGCGCCTGCTGGAGATGAGTGAGCTATGTTCTGTGGGATTGGGTGGGACTTCCTCAGCGTGGGAGGAGCCCATTCTGGCCCGAGCTGTGTTTTTAAGAATAAATCCCTGGGAGCTCAGCATCGGCAGGGGCCTTGCTGTGCCTCCGATGTGGCCAGCGTGCCGCCTTTGCACTTTTGCTGTTGAGTGACTTGCACCACGGGGTCAGGGAAGGGCAGTGTGATTGCTGGCTAGGCATCGTTCTGTAATACAGGGTTGCCTGCATGAGCTCAGGCACAGGCCAGCATCCCCAGCCCTACCTGGGAGCCTCATGACATTCTCGGCAGCCTGGGGGGCCTTGTCTTGTGCCACACAGGCAAGTGGGGACACCCCCAGGCAGCAGAAGTCACCTGCAGCCCAGCGCCAGCCGCTGCTTTCTTGCTTTTCATGCCATTCACACTGGGGTAAGAATGGCTTCAAGACAAAATGTGACAGCATCACTCAGGCCAGCTTAGATCCTCAGGGTTCCCTGTCTTCCCAGGATAACGTCCAAGGCCCCGGCCTCTTGCCACTGCCCCTTGACCTCTGTCCTCTGCCCTGGGGCCCTCTCTCCAGGCAGGACTCCCAGCCCCTTGCTGGCCCTGCCCTGCCTCTCCCCAGGGAGGCCCTGAGGCCCTCCCCCAATATGTTCAGTCAAGCAGTGTCCCGTGTGGTCGGCCGAGCTGCCGTTCCTGCCACTACCACTGTTCCCACCCAAGGAGGGAGGCCTGGCTGTGAAAGTCCCAGGGAGGGGTCCGGGGTGGACTGTCTGGGGAGCCATGGTGTCGGCCTGAACCTGCACTCGGCCTGAAGCTGAGCCCACCACGGGGAATGTGGCTACCAAGGGCAAGCACGCTTGGCTGCAGGCCTGGAGAAGCTGGAGCCAGACCACGGTGGGCTGCTGCAGGCTTTGGTCCATGTCGACCAGCGTCAGCTGCTGTCTGGGGATCTTAGGCTGGGGACGGCCCCTGCACCTGACATCACCTGGGCTGGGACCCCCACCTGGGGCTCCCCTTCTGCACTTGGACACCTGGGGGCCCATCGGGTCCACGCCTGTCCCACTCCAGCCTGTGCCTGTCCCACTCCAGTGAGGCCTCAGCCTGGTGGAGGGGGTGCAGGCTTGCGGGGAGCAGAGCTTCCCACAGGGCTGACCCTATGCACACAAAGCCATGACTGCCCCTGCCTGGGGCTTTCTGTTCCCCAGGAAGTCGGAGCCCCCCTCTCCTGAAACCGCCAGGCCCTCACAAGTCCCTTCCCCTCCAGGATCTGTCTGGCACCACCTCCTTCCCGCCGCCGGGTCCGCCTCTCAGGCCGCCTCTCGGGGTGCTAGCCGGACTTGGGACAGGCTGTGCCTCAGTTTCCTCACCTGTGCAAGGGAGGATGTTGGATTGTTCGGGGAGGGGGAAGCGGACCCCGCCCCCAGGTGCCGCCTGCCCCGCCCCTCCCGCCGGGCGAGGGGCCCATTGGCTGCGGGGCGCCGGGGCGGGGCGGGGCGCGGCGCGCGGAAAGGAGCCTCGGGCCGGGAGCGCAGGAACCAGACCGAGTCCCGCGGGGCTGTCACCTCCGCCTCCGCGCCCCGACCCGGCCATGCGCGACCTCGGGCTCTGGCTGCTGTGCGCGATGGCACTGCCTGGTGAGTGGCTCCAGGAAGCCGTCCCGGGCGCGGCGCGGGGCAGGGTGGTTCTTCCCGCAGGAGGCGACGCGGGCCCCGAACCCCTGGCCTGCTCGCCCCAGGCACCCTGCCCCGCTTCGGGCTGGTTCCTGGGAGCCAGGCGTCGGGTGCACAGTGGTCTCTGGGTGGATACACCTGGGCCGGGGGGGCCGGGGGGACCGGGGAGGCCGGGGAGGCCGGGGAGGCCGGAGAGGCCGGAGAGAACCTTCAAAGGTGAACTGTGAGAGGGAAGTCCCGCCTCTGAGCTTGTTAGTGGGGTCGGGGCCAGGCCAGGCAGGACGGCTTCACCTGCTGCGGGAGGCGCCCTGGGTTCCTGGGATTCGCCTGTGGGGCTGCCCACCCCCACTATTTGGCCAGGGAGGGAAGGGAGGGCAGAGGAGCTGGGGCCTGGAGGGCAAGGGTGTGGGCCTGAGGGGACCCGTCTCCTGCCTGGGGGAGGACCCGGGGCTGCTGACCCTGGATCCCGCCCCTGCTTCTGGAGTGACTTGGGCTGGGGTGTGTGAGGGAGCTTCAGGCTGGAGGCGGGGATGCTTTTCCGCCAGTTTCCTGGGCAGATGGGGCCGGCTGCTCCCTCCCCTGCTGCCTCTCCAGGTTAGAATGCCGTCATGGAGACACGTCCATTATTGTTTTTAACGGGAGAAAAGGGTCCTGGGGTTGGTGGTCTCCGAAACTCTGCCCATTGCATGCTGGGTCCCTGCCCTCTGCTCTTGGAAACCAGGGAGTTTCCAGTACTTGGGAGGTGAACAGCCTCCGGGAGGCCCTTCCTGCTCCCCAGTTAGGGACAACCAGATGATCAGATGAGTGGAGAAGGAGATGGAAACGGTCGGCCGCCGGGGGCCTCCTCCCATCTGAGACAGCCTGGAGGCCTGTGGAGTCGCTGGCACCCGCAGGGTCTCCGAGCACCGTGTGTGGGTGCTGCAGGACACAGGCCCACCGGCCCTGCCTGGGGGACTCCTGGGGTCTTTTAGGCACAGAACCCTCACTTGAGTCTTTGTTTCTGAGCTATCTGGCAATTTTCCCAGGGGAGGGTCAAGACCAGGAAGGGGCAGAATCTGAGGGCCCAGGACTCTGGGAAGGAAACCCCTTTCCCCCCCACCCGCTTGCTGCTGATACTCCCTCCCGCAGCGATCGTCCCCAGCCGGCCCTGGGCCCGCGTGGAGCGGTATGAGGTGGTGCTGCCGCGGCGTCTGCCAGGACCCAGAGTCCGCCGAGCTCTGCCCTCCCACGTGGTGAGTCTAAGCTGGTCTGGGGGGTTCCTGACTGGCCCCTGAGCCCGTTTCTATGAAAGGAGCTTTAGCCTACGGGAAGTGGTAAGACCAGGTGGACATCTGGGGCTACCCTGTTCAGCTCCAGTCGCCTGGGGCCCATCTCCATTCCTCCCTCCAGCGCTGCCTGGGGGCTCAGGGCCTCACGGTTCCTTCGGGAACTCTATGCGCCCCCAGAAGGGAGCAGGGGTAGGTTGTGCTGGCCCCGGGCCCCTCCCCAGTTTCACTTGGCAAGGCTGATAAGCCAAATTCCTCTTTGAGAAGTGACGCTGGCTCACCGCAGAGTTGACACACCTTCCTGTGTGTGTGTGGGACCTGGCAGGGGTTCCCCGGGGCTAGGAACTGAGAGTGGCCCCCCTCCCCCACCGGGGCTGCCCAAGGGTGATTCCTGAAACCTGAGTGGGTGGGTGTGCACACGTGTGCACTGCATGCACGCGTGTGCGTGTTTCCAGGGAGGGTGGCCCCGGCCCCAGCCGTGTCCTTCCTTCAGCACCCTGGGAACCTGCCACCGACCTGCTCACTGCTCTGGGCTCTCATCCAGCCGGGGTCACAGCTAAGGCTGTCCCAGGGCTCAGCAGGCCGAGTCCCAGCCTCCATATGGGGGCTGAAGACGCAGTAGTTGAGGAGGAGGCTCTGCAGGCACCACCAGGTCCGGCAGCTGCTGGGAGGGACGGGGCCTGGAGGCAGACAGCTGCCGCTGGAGGGGCCTGTGTGTGCCATCCCCGCTGCCCACCTCCTTTGCTGCCTGGCTGAGGCTGTGTCTCCCCCACCTTGTGCTTTCTTGGGGAAGGGGCATTGTTGTTACCCATGTGTGGTCAGATGGGGAAACTGAGGCCTGGGAGGACCGAGGAGCACTGTGTCCTTCCTGTTCACCCAAGTGCTGGGCTCTGCCAGTCCCCTCCAGCACAGCCCCACCCCCACCCCCCACCTTCCACCCTCTACCCTGCCTGAGGCTGTGGACCCTCAAGGATGGAGCCTTGGCCTGGGGCTGGAGGCCGGCACCCCTTCCCCACCAGCTGAGCTTCTCTGGCCCCCAGGATTGAGGTGGGCCCAGCCCAGGCAGGCTGCTCACCCGGGACCCTTCCCTCCTCGCTCAGGGCCTGTACCCAGAGAGGGTGAGCTATGTCCTTGGGGCCACAGGGCACAACTTCACTCTGCACCTTCGGAAGAACAGGTGAGTGGGTCTCAGGTCACCCCCCTGCCTGGGCCTGGCTCCAGCACACTGGTGTCCTCGGCGTCCAGCCTCTGGGCCGGCCTCTGTACCGAGGGGCCCGAGGCAGCCACAGCACATCTTTTTCAGGGACCTGCTGGGCTCCGGCTACACAGAGACCTACACGGCTGCCAATGGGTCCGAGGTGACGGAGCAGCTGCGCGGGCAGGTGTGGGTCGGTCGAAGCAGCTGGGCGGGCAGAGATGGGTTGGGCGGCCCTCCCCAAGCCTGTGGGGCTGTGGGGGCACAGCCTGTGGACCCCTCTCCTGCTTCCCCTGCAGGACCACTGCTTCTACCAGGGCCATGTAGAGGGTCACCCGGACTCAGCCGCCAGCCTCAGCACCTGTGCCGGCCTCAGGTGGGTGCAGCGGACGAACACCAGGGCTCCCGCGGGTGGAGAAGAAGGCCTAAGCCTGGGGCGGGGGTGGGGGGAAGGGAGGCGGGGAGGTGCCTCCTTCTCGCACTCAGGCCTTTGCTGTCGCACAGAGGGGTCTGCTCGGGGCACCCTGCCAAGCCCAAGAGGCTCACCCTCCTGTACCCTGGGGCCTGAAGTCACCTGTCGGGGGCTACGGGTGGCAGGGTAGGGGGAGCCGTGGGCAGCAAACTAGAGCCTCTGGTCCTTCGGGGCAGGACCAGGCCACTCTGAAGCCCACGGCACACCCGGCTCCCGCTCCCCTCAGGGGTTTCTTCCAGGTGGGCTCAGACCTGCACCTGATCGAGCCCCTGGATGAAGGTGGAGAGGGTGGGCGGCACGCTGTGTACCAGGCTGAGCACCTCCTGCAGACAGCTGGGACCTGCGGGGTCAGTGACGACAGCCTGGGCAGCCTCCTGGGGCCCCGGACGGCAGCCGTCTTCAGGCCTCAGCCCGGGGTGAGCACCGTTGTCTCCCGTGTTTGGCTGGTCCTGCCGGTGTCCGCTTGCCTGACCTGTGAGTCTCCCTGGCTCCCCATGCACTGGGTGCTGCCCACCGTCTGCAGCCTGCAGCAGGCCTGGCCACACTCCCCCAGCACTGGGCAGGGGCTGGACAGTGGCCCCAGGTCCCTGAGGGAGGGTCCAGGCCCTGGGGCTGGGAAGGCTGACTGGCTTCTTGTGGCTGTTCCCAAGGGCTCTCTGCCGTCCCGAGAGACGCGCTATGTGGAGCTCTATGTGGTCGCGGACAATGCAGAGGTGCGCTGGGGGCGGGGAAGATGGGAGAGCGGCCGGCGGAGGGTGGATGGGGGGTGTGTGGGCTCCAACCTGAGGGTCTCGTGTCCCCAGTTCCAGATGCTGGGGAGCGAAGCAGCCGTGCGCCATCGGGTGCTGGAGGTGGTGAACCACGTGGACAAGGTGGGCAGCAGTCCTGGCTGCAGAGGTGCCGGCTGCAGAGGTGCCAGCTGCAGAGGTCCTGGCTGCAGAGGTGCCGGCTGCAGAGGTCCTGGCTGCAGAGGTGCCGGCTGCAGAGGTGCCAGCTGCAGAGGTCCTGGCTGCAGAGGTGCCGGCTGCAGAGGTGCCGGAGCCCCTGGCGGGAGGTGGGGGAGCGTTGCCACGGGATTCGTTCCACCTGCTCTGCCTCTGCCCCGCACCTGTGCCTGGCCCCACCTCGCAGCAGGACAGGTGCAGCCTCCGTCCCCACCCTCCCTGCTGCACCTTCCGCCACCCCGCCTGACCCCCAGGACTCCACCATCTCTCCAGCTATATCAGAAACTCAACTTCCGTGTGGTCCTGGTGGGCCTGGAGATTTGGAATCGTCAGGACAGGTTCCACGTCAGCCCCGACCCCAATGTCACACTGGAGAACCTCCTGGCCTGGCAGGCGCGGCGGCTGACACAGCGGCACCTGCAGGACAACGTGCAGCTCATCACGTGAGTTGGCGGAGTGGGCAGGGTGGGGAGGGCTGGGGAGGAAGGGTGGACAGGGTTGGGGTAGGAGGGAGAGCATGGCTGGGGTGGGAGGGAGGTGGGGAGGGAGCCATGTCCAGGGCATCTGTGTCACTCCCACTTTCAGGGGCGTCGACTTCACTGGGACCACCGTGGGGCTTGCCAGGGTGTCTGCCATGTGCTCCCACAGCTCAGGGGCTGTGAACCAGGTGAGGGGCTCTTGCCCAGGTTTGCCAGGCCAAGGCCAGAGCTGGCTAGGGGAGGGGAAGCCTCGGTTCAGGTCTCTGGAGCAGGCCACCTTCCCTCAGGCCAGGTTTAATGCCTGATTTTATGTTTTAAGGTGGTGTTGGCGGGAAGCTGTGCCAAGTCCTGGGCCCTGGTGGGGTGAGGGTGGCAGGTGTGGGGAGTTGGCCACATGGTTCCTGAGAGCACAGACCCTCCCACAGGACCACAGCAAGAACCCCGTGGGCGTGGCCTGCACCATGGCCCACGAGATGGGCCACAACCTGGGCATGGACCACGACGAGAACGTTCAGGGCTGCCGCTGCTGGGAACCCTCTGAGGCCGGCCGCTGCATCATGGCGGGCAGCATTGGGTGAGGCGGCCGGGCCTGGCGGAGCCAGGGTATGCTGGAGGTGCAAGGTGGGTGGGGAAGGGGCCCGGCCGCCTCCCTGACGGGTCGCTCCCCACCAGCTCCGCGTTCCCCAGGATGTTCAGTGACTGCAGCCGGGCCTACCTGGAGGGCTTTCTGGAGCGGCCACAGTCAGCCTGCCTCGCCAACGCCCCTGACCTCAGCCACCTGGTGGGCGGCCCTGTGTGCGGGAACCTGTTTGTAGAGCGTGGGGAGCAGTGCGACTGCGGCCCCCCCGAGGTGCGTCCACACCCCGCACCTGCTCCCGTCAGCATGGGGTGCCACGACCTCTGTCCCTTCAGGTCAGGGCGACCACTGCACGAACATGTGGAACTCGGGGCTCCATTGGTGTCCAAAGTGGTCCCAGGGAGGGAGTGGCTGCAGGGCACCCCAGTGGTCAGGGGAGGCGGCCAGTCCGCCCTGGAGCCTGTCCCGGCCCCAGTGCAGCCTGCCAAGGCCTTTGCCGTCGCCCCAGGACTGCCGGAACCGCTGCTGCAACTCCACCACCTGCCAGCTGGCTGAGGGGGCCCAGTGTGCGCACGGTACCTGCTGCCAGGAGTGCAGGGTGAGTGCAGCCTCCCACTGGGGACCCCCAGAGCCCATGGCTGGCAGGTGGGAGGGGACCCTGGGGCGCCAGGGACCAGGCAGCTTGCATGGGCCTGTCCCCACGGTGAGCTCTTCTCTGCTGGGCCAGGTGAAACCAGCTGGTGAGCCGTGCCGTCCCAAGAAGGACACATGTGACCTCGAGGAGTTCTGTGACGGCCGGCACCCTGAGTGCCCAGAAGACGCCTTCCAGGAGAACGGCACGCCCTGCTTCGGGGGCTACTGCTACAACGGGACCTGCCCCACACTGACCCAGCAGTGCCAGGCCTTCTGGGGGCCAGGTGAAGTAGGCACAGAGCGGACCTGGCAGGGTGGCTGCAGGCTTTGCCAGGGCTAACCCGCTCCTGGTCCCGCAGGTGGGCGGGCTGCCGAGGAGTCCTGCTTCTCCTATGACATCCTACCAGGCTGCAAGACCAGCTGGTACAGGTGAGCTTCTGAGACCAGATTCCCCTGGGCCCAGGACATGTGATGTTCCCACAGCAGGCTCAGCCCCAGAAGGTCCTCCACAAAGGAGTCCTGTTCCCATGAGGGTCTGCCCTGGGCCCGTGGACCCAGGCTCAAGCACACTGTGTTGTGGGAGGGAGGTGGGTCACTGTGGCCCCAGCCTGCTGTGGTTCCTGGGCCCCCCAGCATGGGCCTGGGCAAGCTGGCCCACGACCTGCCTCCGTCCACAGGGCTGACATGTGTGGCGTTCTGCAGTGCAAGGGCGGGCAGCATCCCCCAGGGCGCACCAGCTGCATCGTGAACCGTGTGTGCCACGCGCTCACCACAGAGGATGGCACTGCCTATGAGCTAGTGCCCGAGGGCACCCGGTGTGGACCAGAGAAGGTAAGTCCCTGGCTCAGAGGCCGTACCACCCCCCAGGCATCCCAGGCGTGTGCCCCACCTGCAGATGGGTTTCTGGCTTGGCAGCTGCTTGAGGCTGTGGGAACAGAGTTCTCTCCACACTTCTGGTAGAGACTGAAAGGTTGCTGGGGGATGGGGAGGGACATGGTTCTCAGTTCATCTGATGGCCATCGCCGGCTGCCACGTGCCCCAGGAGCACCATTTCCTAGGGGCTCCAGGGGTAGGCAGCCGGCAGATGGGCTGAAGCACAGCCACCCCGGACGTGGTGACCACAGCCCACCCCCAGCTTACCCCGCGGTTTCAAGGGACACGGGTGGGGGTCCAGAGCGGACGCCTGAGAGACGCCTCCTACCCCCAGGTTTGCTGGAAAGGACATTGCCAGGACTTACACGTTTACAGATCCAGAAACTGCTCCGCCCAGTGCCACAGCCACGGGGTATGTGTGGCCCCTCGGGACAGTGCCACAACCACGGGGTATGTGTGGCCTCTCGGGACAGTGCCACAACCACGGGGTATGTGTGGCCCCTCGGGACAGTGCCACAGCCACGGGGTATGTGTGGCCTCTCGGGACAGTGCCACAACCACGGGGTATGTGTGGCCCCTGCACAGAGGCTGCCACTCTGAGGGAGCCTGAGGCTGGGGGAGCCAGGCATGTCCTATCCATGGGGGTCTCAGTGGAGCCCATCTCAGGGCTGAGGCCCGGCCTGGGTGGCCTCCGTGGATGGAACCTGCGTGGTCACCGGGCAGTGGGCAGGGGCTACATGGAGAGGCCTCGCCGTTGGCGCACATGGGCGGGTACCCAGCGGCCCTCAGGGGTGAGGCTGGCCCGGGGCCCTTATGCTGGAGGCGCAGCCCCCACGGCCCCTTGGGGTCCACGCTGGGATTGGCCCTGAGCCCAGCCGTCCCCACAGGTGTGCAACCACAAGCAGGAGTGCCACTGCCATGCAGGCTGGGCCCCGCCCTACTGCGCAAAGCTGCTGACTGAGGTGCACGCAGGTAGGCTTCCCTGGCCAGCGTGGGTAGGGCTGGGGTCCAAGCTCAGAGGGCCCGAATGGAGCCCAGGCAGAAGCTGCGGGCCCGGGAAGCTGGTGGCGTTCACAGTGCCGGTTTGCTACCACAGGCATCAACGCACAGGTATAGGCAGAGTCTGTCTTCCCCCAGGCTGATGTGAGGGGGAGAGAGCCCTGTCCCAGAGTGGGGGCAGTGGCTGAGGGCAGGGCACGGTGGTGAGCTGAGACTCCAGTGTCCTCAGCCTGTGTCTTCCAGCCCCTCCTCAGCCCACGGCCCTGAGGCCACCCAGCATTTCCTCCTTGGTGGCCACTGAGCACGTGGCTGTCCAGAGCATCAGGCCTCAAAGGCACAGCTGTGCCCACAGCACTGTGGCCCAGGGCCACCCTGCCAAGCTCTCCAACCCATCACTGGAGAGCTGGGAGTCCCGGTGTAACGTACTGGGTCCTCCCTGAGGGGTCCACAGGGCACGGCCTATGGGTGCTGAGAAAGGCTGTGTCTCTGGGAACCTCCCCGGCCCCTGCCTGAGGTTGTGGCCTGAAGTGGGGCGTGTGTCCCACAGCATCCGGGAGCCTCCCTGTCATCGTGGCGGTGGTTCTGGTGCTCCTGGCAGTTGTGGTCACCCTGGCAGGCATCATCGTCTACCGCAAAGCCTGGAGCCGCATCCTGAGCAGGTGAGGGCGGCGGGGGCTGTGACAGGGCGGTGGGTGGCCATGGCGGAGGGCGGCGGGGGGCCGTGGCGGAGGGCAGCGGGGGGCCGTGGCGGAGGGCGGCAGGGGCCGTGACGGAGGGCGGCAGGGGGCCGTGGCGGAGGGCAGCGGGGGGCCGTGGCGGAGGGCGGCAGGGGCCGTGACGGAGGGCGGCAGGGGGCCGTGGCGGAGGGCGGCGGGGGGCCGTGGCGGAGGGCAGCGGGGGGCCGTGGCGGAGGGCGGCAGGGGCCGTGACGGAGGGCGGCAGGGGGCCGTGGCGGAGGGTGGTAAGTGCTTCCCGTGCTCGGCTGCAGGGAAATGTCCCTGCTGCTGGAGGAAGGGCACCCAGCACGGGCCCATGGTGGGTGGCACGGACACCCAGGCTCCTCCATGCCCCGACGTCGTGACGCCCCCCAGCCTGAGCTGAGTTTAAAGGGCCTTCCTGGCTCCACTGGGCCGGTGCTGCTCTGGACTCTACCATCCCCCGAGGCTAGGGCAGGGGATGGTTTTGGTGGCAGGTTGGGCTTGGAGCAAATCCAGAGAGGCCCGGTGGGGCCCCCACACCCTGGCCCAGCCCCATGAGCACCCCACCAGTTCCCTGCTGAGCCCCACGCAGCGGAGACCCCCACGGCGCAGGACACACTGGCCCCACAGCCTGCAAGCATCTCCCGCCCACCTGACTGGGGCCCCCAGGACATGGAGGGGTGTCCCTGCCTCTTCAGGGTCCGCCGCGTCTCCTGGGCCTGTCTGTCTCTCATGGCTGCGACCTCTCACCCTGCAGCCTCTCGGGTCGGCTGGAGCTGGGAGGGACCGACAGGGTGTGGTGCTGGGGCCCCGTGGCCGGACACTGACCACGTGCCCTGTGCTTCCTCCCCAGGAACGCGACTCCCAAGACCACCACGGGGCTCTCCAACCCCCTGTTTCACCAGGCTGCCAGCCGCATGCCGGCCAAGCAGGGGGCTCCGGCCCCAACCAGGGGCCCCCAAGAGCAGGTCCCCACCACCCACACAGGCCAGCCCGCCAGACACCTGGCCTCCTCGGTGGCTCTGAAGAGGCCGCCCCCTGCTGTAAGCACCACCCCTGGCGGGTTCGTGAGGCTGAAAGCAGTGTCCAGGCCCCGTCCTGTGACCCCACGTGCAGCCCGAGGCCAGCAGAGCCCTTTCATTAACTTCACACGTGGGCTGGCAGTGGCCCCGAGGCCCAGAGCAGCTGCTGTGGTCATCCTGCTGGCAACACTGAGGCTTTGGGAGTGGGTGCTTCATGGACCCCTTTGAGCCATGACAGAATCTGAGCTTGAACTTAAACTTGGGGCTCGGAGGCCAGGGAAGCTTCCTGGACTCAGCAGAGCCCGTCTGAGGACCGTGTCAAGAGGCAGATGCTCGCCGGCCCGCAGCTCGGGGTCATGCCGCTGAGGGGAGGACTGGGGTGGGGCTGCACAGACCCCTCCGGCACACACAAGAGGCAGGAACCTCGGATCCTGGAGCTGGGGGTGCTGGAGGGGCACGGGGTGGGGTCCCAGCTCTGACCCAGGCTCTCGGCCCTATCTCCTCCAGCCTCCGGCCACTGTGTCCAGGCCACCCTTCCCAGTTCCTGTCTATGCCCAGCAGGCACCAAAGCAGGTAAGCCGTGGTGATTGGGCAGCCAAGCCGTCTGAGGGTGTCCAGGTCTTCCTGATGGGATTGGGGTCTGTGCACTTGCACTTTGGAAGTGTGGCCAGCAGTGTTTTCAGGGTCCCTCAGCTTCGGTTTGTCACGTTCTTTCCTCGTGTGGATGAGGGCCGTGCACTGCTGGCAGGGGCAGCACTGGACACACCCTTCCCAGGACACAGCCCAGGCCTGGCCCCACGTGCAGCTTCGGTCACGGGTGATGTTGACAGGGCGCCGGGTTGGAGCAGCGTCCACAGATTTTTCCTTAGAAATCCCCTGTCTTCTTTTTATAGTTAGCAGATGCCTCGGGGAGATACCTTGAGACTCTTTGAACCTTAAACTTGGACCCACCAGTTTTGGCATCCATTGGTGAACATTGGCTGCAACAGTTGTTCTGCACTGTTTGCATAATAGTGATTTTCTTTATTTATTTTTTTTTTTTGAGACGGAGTGTCGCTCTGTCGCCCAGGCTGGAGTGCAGTGGTACAATCTCAGCTCACTGCAAGCTCCGTCTCTCAGGTTCAACGCATCTCCTCGCCTCACGCTCCCAATGTTAGCTGAGGACTACAGGGTGCCTGCCGCCAGGCCCAGCTAAATTTTTAGATATAGATATATACATATTTGTTTTTTTTTTTTTTTTTTTAGTTAGGAGACGGAGTTTCACTGTGTGTAGCCAATATGTGCGTGAGTCTCTTGACCTCGTATCGGCCTGCACTTGGCCTCCAGAGTTCTGGGTTACCAGAACGTGTGCCACGCACCAGCCGCTAATGAGTGATCTTTCGATTTCTCTCTATTCCTTTTAACTTTTTAGGTGAGCACGAGACGCTGACCTGACATGTGAGTTGTAGAATAGTCCGTAGAAGGGGTGCTGAGGAAAACGGGGGCCTGGAGGGGGGCGGAGGAAATTCTGGCCAGGAAGTTGATGGTCACAAGCAGGGAGGCGAGATGGGGCAAGAGGCTACAGCCAGACCACGCGTGGGGTGGATGGGGCAGAGGCTACAGCAGGAACCACGCGTGGCGGGAGATGGGGCAGAGGCTACAGCAGGAACCACGCGTGGCGGGAGATGGGGCAGAGGCTGCAGCAGGAGCCAGGCGTGGCGGGAGATGGGGCAGAGGCTACAGCAGGAGCCAGGCGTGGTGGGAGATGGGGCAGAGGCTGCAGCAGAACTATGCAGGAGGGAAGTCACTCACTCTTCACTTGCATCGGCCTCCCCTGGCTGCTCAGTGGGGTCCTTTGGAAACTGCTGAAAATTGCAAATGCTCAGCCCACCCAGGCTCCGTGCGACGCAGCCAGGAGTGAGCTCCACAGCTCTGTGTGGTGGACTTCCAGCCTCCCTACCCTGGGAAAGCTGACATGCAAAGAAACACGTGTTTTAGTAGTTAATTATTGGCCTTTGAGCTTCCAAAACCCCACATTCTGGCAGTTTAAGAGCTCTTCAGGCCAGGCACATTGGCTCACGCCTGTAATCCCAGCACTTGGGAGGCTGGGGCGGGAGGATCACTTGAGCCCAGGAGTTCAAGACCAGCCTGGGCAACATAGGGAGACCCCATCTCTACAAAAAATAAAAAATTAGCTGGATGTGGTGGCTTGTGCCTGTAGTCCCAGCTACTCAGGAGGCTGAGGCAGGAGGATTGCTTGAACCCAGGAAGAGAGGCTGCAGTAAGCCAAAATCATGCCTCTGCACTCCAGCCTGGGTGACAGAGGGAGATCCTGACTCAAAAAAAAAAAAAAAGGAAAAAAGTTCTTCAAGGATAATATGGGGGTTGGGTAGGGGATGTGGAAGGTGTGGCCGGAGCTGGACTGGGCAGATGGGCCCCGGATGGCGTTCGGCCACTGACGGGCTTTATTCTGTGGGCGGTGGCGGCCAGGAGGGTTTTTCTGTAGCGGGCTCAGTGGCAGTGGAGCCTGCAGGCCCCTGGGGGGCAGAGCGAGGCCTGTGGGGAGCTTCATTCTGGATCCAGGGAAGGTGATGTCCAGGTTAGGGCCGGGACTGCCTGGGGCACCCATGTCAGCTATGTCTGTTTCCCTCCCAGGTCATCAAGCCGACATTCGCGCCCCCAGCACCCCCAGTCAAACCCGGGGCTGGTGCGACCAAGCCTGGTCCAGCTGAGGTGAGGCCCCAGCACACACCAGGCGGAGTCCACTGTGCGACGGACGGCATATGGCCTCCCCACAGGGCTGATGGTGGCACTGCTCTGGAGCGGTGGAGTTTTCTCCTAATTATCTGTGGATAAACTTGGTGACTGTCTGAAAGAAAAGGGAAGGGCATCGGCGGTGGGTGTACTGTGATGTCTGTGCTGCGATCAGGGGGCTTCTCAGCAGACGCTGACCCCGGCTGTCAAGGTGCCTGACTTTCCCCCAGTGACCGCAGGGAAGGACGTCTGTCCCTCCGTGCGCCGTATCTACTGCGGCTGCCACACTTGCCATCGTGTGGATGGGCTATGTTGTTGTTGGATGAACCAAGAATCCACATTTTAAGAAATGTTAAAGGGGCCGGGCGCGGTGGCTCAAGCCTGTAATCCCAGCACTTTGGGAGGCCGAGACGGGCGGATCACGAGGCCAGGAGATCGAGACCATCCTGGCTAACACAGTGAAACCCCGTCTCTACTAAAAAAAATACAAAAAACTAGCTGGGCGAGGTGGCAGGCGCACCTGTAGTATCAGCTATTACACTTGGTTGGCTGAGGCACAAGAATTGCTTGAACCTGGGAGGTGTAGGTTGCAGTGAACTGAGATCACACCACTGCACTCCAGCCTGGGAGACACTGTCTCAAAAAAAAAAAAGAAAAAAAAAAAAAAAGAAATGTTAAAGGAAGTAAAATTGAGTTGTACCCTTTATATGCCTTTTATAGCAGGTAGTTTTTCAACACCATTTATCTTTTCCTCCTTCCAGAGTGCTGTTGGCCCAAAGGTTGCCCTGAAGCCCCCCATCCAGAGGAGGCAAGGGGCCGGAGCTCCCACTGCACCCTAGGGAGGCACCTGTGCCTGTGTGGAAATTTGGAGAAGTTGCAGCGGAAAACCATGCCTTCCAGCATTCCAGGGTCCAGCTAGCGCCGCTCGGCTCTGGACCCTGACTTTGCAGGCTCAGCTGCTGTTCTGACCTCAGGAATGCATCCACCTGAGAGGCTCCTGCTCTCAGGCCCTCAGCCACTCCCTTCTCCCCGCCTTGGCCCCGCGTAGCCCCAGCTGTCTGCAGGCACCAGGCTGGGATGAGCTGTGTGCCTGCAGGTGCATGCGTGTGTATGTGTCTCCAGGTGGCCACTGGTCTCCCCCTGTGTTCAGGAGGCCACATACACAGCCCCTTCCGGCCACACCTGCCCCAGCTCTGGAGCCTGCTGAGCGGCTGCCCTGGGTACCCAGTTCCAGGCGGCACAGATGTGGGGTATCCCCAGAAAGACTCCATCCCAGGACCACGTTCCCCTGGGTGCCCTTCAAGAGGGTGTCAGGGAGCGGACTGCACCCCAAGCTCCCGACTGCAAGTCCCCTGATCGTGGGGCCTGTTTCCCATGGGATTCAAGAGGGACAGCCCCAGCTTCGTGTGTATTTAAGCTTAGGAAGCGCCTTTAGGGAAAGGGCTGCTTGGGAGAGTCAGCTGTCTTGTCTGGTTTTCTTGAGACCGCAGATGTGTGTTCAGCAGGGCTGAAAGCTTTTATTCTTTAATAATGAGAAATGTATATTTTACTAATAAATTATTGACCGAGTTCTGCAGATGCTTGTTGGATCAGCGGGTAAGGGTGGTGGGTTTCAGTTCACGAGATACAAGGGTCGGCGCTTGGTGAAATGTTCCCCCTGGATTTCTCAGGCCCTCCCCAGCGGAACTAAGCAGTCCCGCCCCTCCCGCGGGCAGACGATCCGATCCCGGAGCCCGCGCCCGAGGCGACTTCGCTACGATGCACCGAGGAGCCCGCGCTGCCCCCGCCCCGCTCCGCCCCGTCTCCCGGCAACGGCCGCGCCCCGCCCATTCCGTCTCGTCTCCCGGCAACGGCCCCGCCTCTTCCGGCCCCATCCCCTAGTCCGGGCCGCGTCCCCGCACGTCACCCGCCATGCTGGGCTCGCACCCAGCCGCGCGCGGCCTCCGCGCCTGGCTGAACGCGCTCCCGCTCAGCCACCCACGCGCCGCCTGGCCCGGGACCTCAGCGGCGACGGTGGGCGCGCGTCCGCGAAGTCGTGGAGTCCGAGGGGCCCCCGCGACCTGGGCCTGCGCCCTCGGCCCAGGAGAAGCGGCGAATGGCCCGCGGCGCCCTCCCGACCGCTCGCTGAGCTCCCCAGAGTCTGGGGCTGCGAACCCCGCTTCGCCTTTGCTGCATCGGACTCAGCCTTTCGGATCTGTAGGATCCGGGACTCCAGTGACCGACCACAGGGCAGGGCTCGCAGCCCACACGCGCCGCAGTACCCAGCCCGATGCGCACGTTCCCTGTGGGCACCCCTGGGAGCGTCCCCTGGTGCCAGGCTGGCGCGCTGGCCTCTGAGGAGGTGGCTTCTGCTCTAGGCACCTGGGCAGCACGTCTGAGTGGGCGCCCACGGGGCGGAGGCTGTTAGACGCATCTGGTGCTGCACCGAGGAGGCCTGACATTGGCCATCGACGTCCCCCCAGCCTGTGGCCAAGCCCCTACCCCCATGGGTGCTGCCTCCGGGTGGTTCCTCCGACGAGAGCCCTGAGCTGATAGCGCCCATTCGTCTCGCAGGCCTGCCAAGCCTCCAGCTTCCTTCAGCACGAAGAATGAGAGCGTTCCGGAGGGGACAGGCCACTGTACTTGCAGGGGTGGGTCCCTGTCTCTCAAGCCCTCCAACCGCCCATACCTCCCTCCCTCCCGGTCTCCCCAGCCTCCATCGGCCACCCCATTTCCTCGACAGTTGGATTCAAGGCTGGTGTCTGCCTTGTAGTGGGGACCCAGCCACCAGGCGCCAGAGCAGCCAGACCCCGGGGTCCAGCAGCTACTGGAGGACAAGGAGCAGGCGCTGTCCTTTCCGCAGGAGACAGGGTACAGGCGACCTGGCGTCCTTGTTGCCTGGACACCCTGTGGCCGAAGGACTGGGAAACAGAGGGCCTGTGCCGAGCCTTGCAGAGAGGACATGGCCTTCGTTTTCTCCAGCCCTCCCCAAAATGTAGACATTTGCTGAGTACCTATGGGCACCAGCTCTTATCACCTGGGGGTGCTGGCTGGCAAGTCTGCTGGCTGCCCTCCAGCCAGAGCCGAGCCCCTTCTGGCATCCCCAAATGCACAGAAGACAGCCAGAGAGGCAGGGTCCTGGGCAGCACCTTCCCAGCCCGAAACTCCACACGAGCACTTAGATATGCAGTGCACACCTGGCTCTCCGCACACACCTGGTTCTCAAAAGATACCTGGCTCTCCTTGCACACCTGGCTCTCAGTGCACACGCGGTTCTGCAGTGCACACCTGGTTCTCTGGATACCTAGTTCTCAGTGCACACCTCTCAGTGCACACCTGACTCCTCAATGCACACCTGGTTCTCAGCGCATACCCAGCTCTGTGGTGTAAACCAGGCTTGACAGGCTCTGTGGGCCCACGCCTGCCTCTGCAGGTGCACACCTGGCTCTTTGACCAGGAGTCTCCAGTTTTCCTGCATGCAGGAAGCCCCTTGCCATACCTGCCTCCCCCAGCTCCAGCCATCAGGACCCTTAAGGGATGCTGGATGGGAGCCCTGGCTCCACACAGACGTTCACTCTAGGCCTGCTGGGCAGTGCACGGCCGCGTCGGGAAGAATCCCTCTCACCCCAGGCACCTGCCTCGGGCACGGTGGCCACAGGAGAGGGCTGCTGACTGCCTCCTAAACCTTCCCACACTGGAAGCACAGTCCCAGCCAGTCTCCAGCAGCAAACAACGTGACTTCCACTGGATTTGGAAAACCTGAGCTGCCTCAAATGATGTTTCCGGGAAGCCCAGGAGTGACAGCCACCTATGGACAGAGCTGGGTGGCAAGGGGCAGGCCAGCACTCAGTAGACCCAGCCGGACCAGGGCCCCCTTGTGGACTGAACGCCACTCGCTGGTCATCCCCACAGCGTCCCTTGCTCAGAGACAAACTCCAAAGGGCAGGGTGGCCTCGGCCTTCATGTGAGGAGCACGGCCCCGGGTGCTGGGCCTCTGCCAGAGGACACTGGAGGTGCCTGCTCTTCACGGCCCGGGCTACTCACTGCCCCTGCCGGGGGTCCCTGCTGACTCCTCCAGGGCATCCATCTGACCCCGTGCTGTGCAACAGCTAAGCCAGGGCACTCCGTGGAGTCGTCTCAAACGGCAGCCTGAGCTGCTTTCCCTCTGGTGTCACCATGAGCCTGAGCTGCTTTCCCTCTGGTGTCATAATGCAGCTGTGATTCCCGCTGCCACACGTGGGCCATGGAGGCCGTGGCTGGGAAGTCAGCAGCTTCACTTCTGGCACCACTTCCTCTCTGTCAGGCTGCGGTCAATCTGAAGCCACAAAATGACGTCACTTTTCTGCCTCCTCCGGAAAACAGCTCATCCAGATCTGAGCACCCACTCACGAACTGTGAGATGATATCATTTCCGAGAGCCCCTTTGACCCCGAGACCCTTGGTCACAGCCTGCACACCTGCCCCACACACTCTGTCCTGCGTCCTGGGCCCCTGTCTTGAGGTTCTGCCCTCCCCGGTGCCCTTGGGCCAAGGGCTCAGTCCCCTGGAGGGTCTCAGGAAGGAACTTCAGGGCCACAAACCTCAGGAGGGTTTCAAAGCCGCCTCCTGAGGCGAAGGCAGCTGAAAGCAGCCGCTTCCCCCTGAGTCAGAAGGCAAGGCCCCTCCCCCTGCATGGATGGCCACTGCACGGCCCCCTCCACCCAGTGTCCCTGCAGTGCACAGGCTGAGAGGGCGGCTTCCCAAAGACTGGCCCGGTCAGGTGTGGTCAGCTACTCGGGGCCGCCTGTTCCCAGACCCCTTCTGGAAGCCAGGCCAGGGCTGCCTCTAGGAAGGGGCCATTCCCAGAGAGCAGCCCCTCCGTGCCACAGTGGGCTGGGGAGGGGCCACGGTGGGTGCCAGCCCCCAGGGTCCGCCACTTCCCCACTGTCAGGGGGACTCTTGGTCCTGGATCTGGAGTCTGGGTCATGCTGGGTCATGAAGGTGGCGGCTCAAGCAGTGCTCCTGGAATCAGGAGCAGGGAGACTTAGGTTTCCCAGTCACTGCAGTGACCCCTCAGAGACAGGGCTCCCATAGCACAGATTTCAGCAGGTCCTGCAGCTGGGGCTGGGCAGGAAGTGCTGGGGAAGGGCCTGGCTGAGAAGCCCGAGCCAGCCCAGGCCCAGGCAACTTCCGTCGGGAGCTGTGGCAGCGCCAGACCCCGCTCTGCCACCCCGGGTGGTGACAGCACAGGCCACCGCTCAGCTCCAGGTGCCCCCACATGCTCATGCACACACAAACAGGGCTGCCTGCCACCTGCGAGGAGCCTGCTCTCTCTGGGCACCCAAAAGCAGGCGCCAGGCCAGAGACACACCACGGTCGGAAAGGAGGCAGGCATCAGGAGCCAGCAGGCGCTTGGTGCCTGGAGGCCACAGCCCAGACACCCACAGGCAGGGCCGGCTCACCCTCGGGAAGACAGGAGGCCCTCGGCAGGGTTCCCGGGGTGACCAGGGCCCTGGCGGCCTGAGGCTGGTGGAGCATGTTGAAGCCAGGAACCCTCTCAAGGGAGTGTGGATTCCATCCTGGCTGGAGGAGAGGTTGTCAGGGCAGGGCTGGCCCTTGGGAGGCGCCACAACCCCTGTGCAGGGTACCCCAACTGGGGAGAAGCCACCAGGCCACGCTGGAGTGGGAGCCAGGCCCTCAGCACCAGGTCCCCACAGCATCTGCTGTGCCCACCCCTGTAGGGTGCTGAATCCTGGCCCCTCCCAGCTCTGGGTGAGCAGTGGGCAGGTGCTGCTTCTCTCCATCCTCATCCGGCCTTGCCCTCGGCCAGCAAAGACCCCAGAGGGGAATGAGACCTTTGGGAGCTCCCTGGAATCAGGGGTTCTGAGTGCTTGTGCTGGAACCTTGGGCGGCCAAGACACCGCTTGACTTCCAAGTCCTGTCCTCCAGCGCCTGCACCTGGTCCTCTCCCTGCCCACGCGGCCAGCTAGAAAGCGTGCGCCCTCCAGTGGGAAGGAGAGCAAGGAGTAAAATGTCCCGCCAGGGAGTGGGGAAGGTCAGGAAATTAGGAGGAATGTCGGGCGGCTGCAGAGATGTAGGAGCACAGGCCCCAGGGTCGGGGGTGGGGAGCCGTGAGGGGCCTGGAGGGAGCAGGGCAGGTGGAGAGGAGCTGTCCCAGGTGGAACTGGTAGGAAAAGCCCGAGGCCTCCCAGAAGGAGCCGGTTTTTAGAATTCCAGGACTCGGGAGGAAACCGCAGGACGGGGGCTCCCTTCGGGGCGGTCAGCGTGTTTCTCAGCGGGACGGTGGATGTGGGTGCCCCTCACGTCACCTGGCGTTTATTTTTGCATGTGTGAAATATAACAACAATTTTAAAGGGAAAACACCCTAGGGTGCACACACGTTGTAAAAATGGGAACGGATGGTCCGAAACTCGCTGCTGAATGATGTGCTGTCATGAAATTTACTTCAAAAACTTCCCCTCACACAAAGTACGATCTTGGGTAGATGAAGGAGAAAAAAAGTAAAAATGAATTTTAAAAATCTATTAAAGCTGCTTCTTTTTTTTTTTTTTTTTTTTGAGACAGAGTCTTGCTCTGTCGCCCAGGCTGGAGTGCG